TTAGAACCTGATTCTGGCTGATGAAAACCACTCGGTGCCCCCTGGGGCACTTCTCAGACTTAGTCGGCTTGCTTCTGTACCTATAGAGTTTGTCAGCGCGTCCTCAGACTTAGTCGGCTTGCTTCTGTACCTATAGAGTTTGTCATCGCCTACATTTGTTCATTCATTCACTCACTGAACTAACAATGCCTGAGTCTTGCTCCATGCAGAGCACAGTGCTAAGCTTAGGGGATATGGCAAAGTGATACTGATACGGACTTTTTCCGGGAACTCATGGCTCATTGGGAATTGGTAGTGCAATGTGACTCGGGCTGAGATAGTGGACGCACGTAACAGAGGCACTCAAACTGGGTTCCTGGAAAAAATGGCCAAAGCCAAGACCTGGTTAACCATGCTAAGGAAAAACCAAGAAGCATTCCAGGCAGAGGGGACAGCGTAAGCAGGTGTCCAGAAATGAGACTGAACGCAGGTCTCTGGGGTTAGGATTTAGGATTGATGAGGCCTGGCTATGGTTTTGGACTTAGGTTTAAAAGGAAAAATCAAGATTGTTTTTAAGTTTCTGGCTTCAGTAGTTAAGTGGAGGGTTGTCCCATTTGTACCGAGATGGAGGAAATTAATTACAAGAATCGGGTTTCAAAAAAACGGGGGCGGGGGGCGAGGGTGGCCTGCGGGAGGGCAGGAGTAGATGAGGTCAGGAGGTGGGAAAGGAGGCAGAATTAAACCTGTTTTGGGCACATTTGGCCTGCCTGAACAACATAGCGAGACTCCGTCTCTTAAAAAAAAATTTTTTTTCGAGGTGCCTTTGAGATTCAGGTATTCAGTATGCAGTTAGGTATAAACTGATGAACATCCGAGTACAAATGTTAACTAAAGCTGGACGAATGGGCGACATTGTATGAGGAGAGAGTAGTGCTGAACACCAACTGTATGCTGGACACTCTAAGGGACCGTGGGTGCCATAGATAAGACAGGGTTCTGGTTTTCAGAGAGCACATCATCTAGTGGGGGACATAATGATGTAAACAGGCCGCCTTCTTTTCTAAGTGATGTTGGAAGCCATTTGTGAATTTTAGGCTTGGGAGTGATCTTAATTACATTTTTAAGAAATTATGCTGGTTGCTCTTGTGGAGAATGATCTATAGTGGAGCCAGAATGGAGACATGGAGGCTAAATCAAGAGATAAGGATGGCCTTGACTAGTGTACTGACAGTGGGAATAGAGGATTAAAGAGAGGTTTATGAGGGATATTGATCAGTATATTCCTGTCAGTGTTTTTGTTTTGTTTTGGGTCTTTTTTTTGGTAAAATGGGGATAATGGTTATTATTTACCTCATTGGGTTGTTGTGAGGATTAAATAAATGTGAAGTATGTAAAATATTTAGCTCAGTAAGTAAGTACTGGCACATGGTAACTATCTAGTAATTATCAGCTGTTATCATTACTGTTGTTATTATTGCTGCTATTGGCTAGATCTGGAGGGTAAGAGAGAAGTTAGGGATGATTGTAAGGCAGGGGTCCTCAGTCTTTTTTTTTTTTTTTTTAGACAGAGTCTCACTTTGTTGCCCAGGCTAGAGTGCCCTGGCGTCAGCCTAGCTCACAGCAACCTCAAACTCCTGGGCTCAAGCAATCCTGCTGCCTCAGCCTCCCGAGTAGGTCGGACTACAGGCATGTGCCACCATGCCTGGCTAATTTTTTGTATATATATTTTTAGTTGGTCGATTACTTTTTTTCTATTTTTGGTAGAGACGGGGTCTCGCTCAGGCTGGTTTCAAACTCCTGACCTCGAGCAATCTGCCCACCTTGGCCTCCCAGAGTGCTAGGATTACAGGGGTGAGCCACCATGCCCCGCCAGTCGTCAATCTTTTGAAACAGAGGGCCAGTTCACTGTCCCTCAGACCGTTGGAGGGCCGGACTATAGTTTAAAAAAAACTATGAACAAATTCCTATGCACACTGCACATATCTTATTTTGAAGTAAAAAAACAAATGGGCAAAAACACCCGCATGTGGCCTGTAGGCCAGTTTGAGGACGCCTGCTGTATGGTTTTTGGCCTGAATGACTTACTGGGTGGTGCTGAGATAAGGAACAGTAAGATAAGCAGGCTTGAGACAAGAGAAAGTTGGTTGATTTTTTTTTTTTTTTTTTTTTGAGACAGAGTCTCGCTTTGTTGCCTAGGCTAGAGTGAGTGCCGTGGCGTCAGCCTAGCTCACAGCAACCTCAAACTCCTGGGCTCAAGCAATCCTGCTGCCTCAGCCTCCCAAGTAGCTGGGACTACAGGCATGTGCCACCATGCTCGGCTAATATTTTTCTATATATATTAGTTGGCCAATTAGTTTCTTTCTATTTATAGTAGAGACGGGGTCTCGCTCTTGCTCAGGCTGGTTTCGAACTCCTGACCTCGAGCAATCCGCCCGCCTCGGCCTCCCAGAGAGCTAGGATTACAGGCGTGAGCCACCGCGCCCGGCCGTGTTGGTTGATTTTTATTTGGCAATATTTAAGTGCATGTGAGCTGTCCATTAGGTAATCGGATGGAAGATGATCTTGGCCAGAAATTCAGATTTTAGAGTTTCCAGAATATAAATATAATTAAAGTCATGGGAGGCTAGGTGAGAGATCATCCATCGAGAATGTTTGAAGGGAGAAAAGGACATCGTTCAGAATCCTAAGGGACACCAACAGTTAGTTACAGGACTGACAGAGAAAAGGTGACTGGGAACAAATGGCTTTTTCTTTTTCCTTCCTAATGGAAATGGAAATAGAAGTTAGGCAAAGGAATAAGCAAACTGCATGAGGCAGAGCCGAGATTTGAGTCTCTTCTCCTGTTTAAGCCTCTTCTATGACCTCGCATGGCCTCTTTGGTATCATGCCCAATTATCTAAGCCTCTCTTTCCCAGCTGCAGCCCCTTAACCTAGAATTTCCTTCTCTTTTTTTCTCTGCCCTGATGAGGCCTTTGGGAAGCTTTCTTGACCCTGTCATGCCCTTCTCTACTCCCAGGCTATGTTTAGTTCCTTCCTCTGCAATCACATAAGCACCCATGCCTCCCTTTTATGTAGCACTTACATCATTGAGGAGCATCATGGTAGATTGGGAATGACCTAGACTCTAGAGTCAGATAAACCTTGGCTTAAATTACAGCTGTATCACTTAATAGCTAGTTGTCTTTGAGTAGGCTTCAGCATCCTCATTTATAAAATTGGGATATCAATAGCTATTTTGTGGGTTGCTGTAAGCATTCCTGAAAATGTATGTTATGCTTGTCATATAGGAGACAACTCTGTAAATGTTAGCAACCATAATAATTACCATTATTATTACAGTACTTTTTCCTGTGGCTTCTTCCATTAGCCTGTCATGGTAGAGGCCGAGTATTTATCCTTAGCAAAGTGAATGCTTGGTAAATTTTAAATGAAGGAATGAATGAGTGAATCTCATAGGTATTATTAATACCATTATGCCATGCCAAGGTAGCCATTGTGCTAATGGTTCCTATTGTTAAGTTACTTTTCTATTTAGGAGTCTTGTTGGCTTATTGTTTTTGCCAGCTTCTTATTTACTAAAGTCTATTTTAGCAGAATCTGGTAACTCAGAGATCAAGAAACCTACATTTATGGATGAGGAAATTCAAAGCATACTCATCAAGATGACAGGCTTAAACTTGAAGAAGACTTTTAAGCCAGCTATACAAGAGCTGAAGCCACCAACCTATAAGCTAATGACCCAGGCACAGTTGGAAGAGGTATGTGAATGCAGGCACATTGTTAAAATACGTTTTTTTTAAGGGGTTAGACAAGATTTCCAGAGGCTCCTCCAATGTTTATAGCTGTTATTCCACAGCTACTAGTGAGGGGGAGTACCAGGCACAGAACTGAGAGCAAAAATGTTATAGTAGCCAGGTAGGGAGTGTGGCCAGAATTGAGCAGACTAGGGCAATATGGATCAGATATGGGTGTCCAGAGAGTCTTGTCTTTGCTCTCAAACCAGCCTGAGCATCCTTCCTTTTCCTTGCCTGCTCCAGCTTCCTTCCTGGAGAAACATCTCCTGTGAGCTGCCTTGGGGCTGAAGCTTTGGTGAGATTATGAGATCCTGCTGAACAGCATCCTACTCCAGGCATCAGTGTCCTCCTGGAGCCATGGGTACTCAGTCCTTTGTGGAAAACACTTTGATGTATGACTATACAAGCATTAATACTCTATCTTCTGATTCAAAAGCAATTTATAGTCATAGCAAAAAATTCAAATATCTAATAGTAGATCACATGAAGGGTGAAAGTCCCCTTTTTACCGCTCAGAGGTAACCACTGTTAACAATATGGCATGAAGCAGTATAGTTAGTGGTTAAGAGCATGAGCTCTAAAGTTGGGTTGCCTGGGTTCAAATCCCAGTGCTGCAACTTCTTAGCAATTTACTTAACATCTGGGTGCCTCTATTTTTGCTTCCATAAAATGGAGATGATAATAATAGCACCTAGCTCATAAAGTAGTTGTGGGCATTAAATGAGCCAAATAGATTCAGAGTATTTGAATCATAACTGGCACAGAGTAAGCACCCAATAAATGCAATCCTTTATTTCAGGCAGCTTTTGAAGCCTGGCTCTATCAGAGCATTCCTTTGCAGTTTTGATAACAGTTGAGCCTGTAGCTCTCAGCCACACCACAGAGGCAAAGACCAGGGCTTACAAGTCCAAGTTTGGCTTTTCAGTCACAGATATGTGGCTATAGCTTATTTTCTTTGCAGTTTTTAGCATTTTTTGATTAGTATCTGCTTTTGTCAGATGATCCTTTTGGTATGTAATCTCATGGCTTTGCTCTAGAAATATTTTTATTTTATTAGGCTACAAGACGGGCAGTTGAGGCAGCTAAAGTACGATTAAAAATGCCACCTGTTTTGGAAGAACGAACGCCAATAAATGATGTGTTAGCTGAAGATAAGATTTTGGAAGGAACAGAAACAACCAAGTATGTGTTTACTGATATATCATACAGCATACCACATCGAGTAAGTATACATCTAATTGCAAAATGCTCTTTGTTTGAATACCATGTAGGGATAGGCTTGAGGGACTATGTGAACTGGGCTGTCTCTTCCAAACCAGGATTCGTTTGACTGGGTGAGATCCTTCTGGAAGATATAGTGTGAGAAGGATGAGAAATACAAACCAGCCCCACATCATTATGTTACTGTTTCCCTACAGATTATAGACACAGTATATTACACAATATATTACACATTACACATATGACATCACCACTTCTTCTGTTGTAGTTGTTGACTGCAAAGAGACAGAAAAAGGGGTATAGAAACAGACAGAAATCTACCCCCAAACCACAAATGGACAAGCATCTACAAGGCAATGGGAGAAAGGGATTTTTTTTTTTTTTTTTTTTTTGCCTAAGTTAGACTGATTTCCTTAACTGAAGCCTTTTGAGATGATGGAGTGTTTGTCTGTAAATTCCTTGATGATGCCAAGAAACTCAGGCTTCCAAAGGATTTTCACTTTCCACAGTTTTCAGTAAGAATGACAGATGTTTCTCAGATTTTTTTTGGACATCACCACTTCTTCTGTTGTAGTTGTTATTCTCTGGCTCTTCTTTCCTGGATTGCCAATAACACTTAAAAAAATATCAGTTTGGTATTTGAGCCTTTGTAAGCAAAGAAGAAAAAGAGAGTAATTTATAATTCAGCCCACAAAGTACATTAGAATACTATAGAATACTGAGTTTGGGAGAAGGGCCACCCCATATTATTTAATCTTTCATACATTAGAAGACAGGATTTGAGCTATGTCCTTGTCTGTGTACCAGCCATCTGCATACCTGATGTAATGAATAAGGATCACAGAGTTTTCATTAATTAGAATTTATTGTGCAGTGCTTTAATATATGTTTACAATGCTATGAAGGCTGGTTATGGGAGCATTTTATAACTTGAAAGGGAGAGAGGAACTTGGAATTCAGGTTTCTCCAATTACCAAAATCCTTTTGAGGAAAAAAGTGTGTTATTTTGGCTTGTTATTTTGGATCTGCTGGTTTTTTTTTCCTATTTGCTGTGCTTGATGAAAGTTTTAATAATACTATGCTCAGAACACATTTAGAGACTCCTATACCTCTGAGAAGTTGAGAGTTAGTACCATCTGGTTAATTTATACATTATTAATTATCAGCAATGTGCAAAGCTCCATGTATGTCACTGTGGGTATTGCAAAGAATTACAATGCATATTTTTGCCCTTTTCCAATTATATGACAATATCTGAGAAGTGTCAAGAATTGTGCACGTGTTAAATTGCCGGTTGAATGGTATTAACAGTGGATGGAATTCAGAGGAGGAAGTAGTCATATGGCCTCAGATTTGTCAGTTGGAAGAGTGGAGAGACCAGAGACAGGTGGGCCAGTCAGCCTTGGTGTAGAATTAAGACCCTGCATTCTTGGGTTTGTTCCTTTTTATCCCAACGTTTTTTTTTTTTTGGACACAGAGTCTTGCTCTGTCACCCTGTCTAGAGTTCAGTGACATCATCATAGCTCACTGCAACCTCAGACTCCTGGGCTCCTCCTGAGATCCTCCTGCCTCAGCCTCCCTAGTATCTGGTACTACAGACACCACGCCTGGCTAATTTTTTCTATGTTTAGTCGAGATAGGATCTCGATCTTGCTCAGGCTGATCTTGAACTCCTGCCCTCAAGCGATCTTCCCTCATCAGCCTCCCAGAGTGCTAGGATTACAGGCCTGAGCCACATGGCTGGCGTATCCCAGGAACTTTAAAAATGGATTATAAAGTTGTAAAATCTGTTTAGGTGAGACTTTAAGATGAAGAAATGAAATAATTTGAAAAGGTCTTATAGTAATTCTTTCCTCTAAAATGGATTTAGATGTATCTCAGATTAGCTTTTTTTTAGTTGAACCATTTAGTGTCTTGAACTCACATTAGCACCACAGTTGGTACATACTAAATACTTTTATTTTAGATTTCTGATTGTCAGATTCGCAGCAGTGATTAGTGAAGGAAGTGTCAAACCTTGCCAAGTCTTTGAGGTTTAAAATTAACATCGAACTCATACGCATGATTGCATTTTATGTTTCCTAGTTGCATTTTATATTGTTGATTGCAAATTATTCTTATAATGGGACACAGGAACTAAAAATAAGTCCTCACAAACTCATCCTTGATTATGTTTCCTATTTAAGGAGCGTTTTATTGTCGTCAGAGAACCAAGTGGCACATTACGCAAAGCCTCTTGGGAAGAACGGGACCGGATGATACAAATTTATTTCCCAAAAGAAGGTCGTAGAGTTTTGACACCAATAATTTTCAAGGAAGAAAATCTTAAGGTAAGGTGACTTGGGTTTTATATTTTCAAATTAGTGATTTCTTAGTTGCACTAGTTAGCTCTGGTGCTACCCAGCATTTGGCCTTGTTAAACACATAAACATTTCTAATGGTAACTTGACTAGGGTTTCTCTTTCATAATTGGCTTAGTTAGGATTTGAATCCAGGTATAACAATTACAAAGCCCATGTTATTTCTTTATGCTTCTTGATGAGCACAGACGTGACCTATATTTGGATGGGCAGGCCTATCATAGCATCAAGACGAGTGCTGAACTTTTGTATTCTAATCTGATTCCAATTCTGCTGTGTGGTTTTAGACTGTGTATAGCCAGGACCGGCATGCTGATATCCTCAATCTCTGTGTTGCCCAATTTGAGCCAGATTCTGCTGAGTATATTAAGGTACGTATATTTTATAGTTTCTAAGATAATAGGATTAAATATGGTTATGAGTAAGATTTTTAATCTAACACAATGAGTTTGGTTGTAAGGTTTGATAAAGGGGAAAGGGAAAGTCTGAAAATCTTTTGCGTACAGATGTGCTGAAAGTTGCATAGCTAGTAAGTGGGAAGTTAGAATTGAACTTGTGACAAAATTTATTCTCTTTTCAATTTACCATATAGGAACAAAGTTACTATATTTACTAAATGTGTGCCTTATAACTTTAGTAAGTATTCATTAGTACTTTCTATGTTTAAGGTATTATTATGAGTACTATAGGTGATTCCATGAACTAGGATAGGGTGTGCCGTGTCAAAGCCAGCAGTCCAGATATGATTGTGGGGAAGAGTGCTAGGTAAATATGCAGATAATTATCTCCTTGGGCTTAAAATGCTAGTCACTAAGAGAAGGTTACAAAGTACTCTCAGGAAAGGCTTCATAGGGGTCATAAAGAGAGTTCTAGAAGGGCAGAGAACATCGTGGCAGGTGGAGTTAGGTGAGGTGTTTCAGGTATAGAGAACAGTACGAGCAACAGGTAGGAAATGATGAAATATGTTGAGGAATGGCCAATCATCTGGTTTGTTCGTACATGCAATGTGTATGGACAGGAGTGGCTTGACATCAAGCTGGAAAGTGGATGGGGCCACATCACTGTGACATCTGATGTTAGGCTAAGGACTCTGGGCTTTGGTCAGCAGACCTTTGAAAGCTGTTTGGACAGAGGAATGCCCTTATCAGTCCTCATTCAGGAAGATCAATATGGAAGGAGAACTGAAGGAACATTACTTAATAAGATGGAATGGGTTAGCTGAGGGAATAGGGTAGTTGATGGGATCGGGGAAAGGAGAAGTAGTTAAAAAATATTGATTTCTTTTCTTCCCTAGTGACCAAGAAATGGGTGATACACTATTTCCAGTGGTCTATTCATATGTAAGAGGTGCTTAATAAATAGTCCTTGGCTGCTTAAAAGTAACTGATATGGCCATAAATGTTTGGTAGAACTTGCTCCAGGCTGCCACACACTTTTTCTAAGTGGAGAAGGTACAGATTTGCTGTCATTTAGGCAAACTCTTCTTACTTGAACCCTCCATCCCACCTAAGGTGGGTTGTACAAGGAATGGTTTAAATCATACCTATTGGATAATGATAAGGAGGCAGCTATATGTGGACCTGGTTTTACTTTCTTGGGTAGCACTCATGCTAGTCAGTGTATATTGAGTAATGCTGCTCACTTCTTTATATTTTTACATTTCTGAAGACTTGTATTTTATGTGGATAGGTTCATCACCAGACCTACGAAGATATAGATAAACATGGAAAGTATGACCTTTTGCGTTCAACAAGACACTTTGGTGGAATGGCTTGGTATTTTGTGAATAAGAAAAAAATTGATGGTTTGCTGATTGACCAAATTCAGAGAGATTTGTAAGTATGATCTTATTAAGTAAAAGAACCATTCTTATTACCCTAATGGTTCATCTGTATTTAAGCTATTTTTCCAATGCTAACAGTGTATTGCCCAGTGAGAAACTGAAGCTTTCACTTACCTCAATTTATATGCTTCTAGCATGACTCAGTTTTCCCAGTCTTTGCTTTTGTGTTGCATAAACAAGGGTAGATTCTTTGAAAGAGTAAGTGGCTTTGGATCTGTACTGTATACCTTGAACATTGACTTATCCAGGGCTCACCAGTGCTCCTGTGTGTCAGTGAACTTTTCCAGATACACAAAAATTAAATAAGAAATGTAAAGAAGTAGACATAAGTTCTTGTGGGTGTTTGTTTTCTGGTAGAACTGTTTCTAGGGATTTTCAGTAAAAGTCATCATTTACCTTATGAAAATACTTTTGCTTTTGATATCCCGTGCTTTTGTAAGATTTTTAGGGCATCAAAAAGTCTTTTTCAAAGTAGTCTGAAACAAAGAATGTACGTTTTATTTTAGCGTCAAGCTTTTGTGCTCCCAGGCTTCTAGCTGAAAAGAATACTGTATTTTAGGACTTGTGATAAAACTGAAGACCAATTATTTTTGAGCGTCTTTCTATCAGTTGGCTTAGGAAGGTCAAAATGATAAGGAATGGCTGTAGTGAAAAAAATCAACTTTCCACAAAAGCTCTTGCAAAACTCTAAAGTCTGAATTACAGGAAGAGGGTTTAGTGATTATTGACACCTTCAGACTGTTAGTTTTGACTCAGAGTATATCATACATGTAACCTGAATCATACACACAAAGGTAAGGCATTTGGTACTGGAAGGTTTCACATGATCCTCTTAAGAACTGCAGCCCACATTTGGAAACTGTATCATTTCTCTTTGAAACAGCTTTCCTAAGGATGGTAATTTCCAGGCCAGCCCATTTCACCAGCATGTGTAGTGTAATCCAAATCCTTTATATCCCATATGAAGAGGGTGAATGGTGATGCCCAAATGACATGCCTTTATGTGTATTATCTCCTATGAATGAATTTTCTATTTAGTGAGTTTCTCAAATGTAATCATTCTGAAATTATTAAAACAATATGTTTTTGTACAATATTAGAGCAACACAGAAATGTTTAAGTTTGAAAAGTAAAGTTCTTTATTGTGGTGTACTAATATATGCTCTTATAGTATAACCTTACCTGCTGTACCTGTGCAAAACCTCCCCTCTGGTAATTGTGAACAGGACAGTGAGCTTACTGCAAATCACAAGCCAGACAGTAGAGGGTGCACAACCCCACTGAATAGAGTGCACACCAGAATTTAGATTCTGCACATTTATTTCAGACTCAAGTCCCACTGTTGGTTTTGTATTAAAACTCTTTTAAAGTCCTTTTGAAAATATAAATTTATTTGCTCTTAATTTCAAATATGGATTGGGCATTAAGCTGAATTTAAATGATTCTGTAGGACACAGCCATTACACTTCAGCCTGAACCCAAGGAAGCCCTAAACATGATTCTAATAGGTAGAAACCTAGTTAAGCTCTTTATCAGGCCACATGCCTAAGCTTGAAAGGGAATTATTTTTATCTTTTATTGGGGAGGTACTTTGTTAGATTAACCACTTCGGTATGGCACTCACCGGCCGTGAAACCTTGCCCACAGCCGGCAAGGTTTGAACTCATAGTCTGCACAATAGTTTGTGCTGTGCATTGACAATGAATCCGTTTTGCTCTTGTGTGATGAGGAAAGCTTTAAAGCACTGAAAGCTTATTTTACTTTACAGGCAGCTTTACTTGTCATGTAAATCAGAATAGGTAACATATACATATATGTTTTTATTACGTTATTTTTAAATGTTCACAATTTTATTTTGATAAATGAAAAATTAGAAAAGCCAGTTCAAAATTATAGTTTTATTTTATTCATATCATAAATAAGGCAAGTTTTTGAATAACAATAAATTTATGATAAATTTTATTCTTTGGTGTGATAAATTTCGAAGCATGGGGCTACACGTTACATTGTTTACAATAGCATCTAGTACTATGCCTTTTATTATTTTTTGAGCATACATCTTCTTAATGGATTTTTCCTTTTTGTTTTATCACTATTGTAAAGTGCTGGAAAATGTCTTTCTCTAAAATGCATGAGATTTTCTGATGCAGTACAAGGGTTGTATTGCCTTGATTTGGAGTACTGTTGTAGAAGTTTTGTTATTAACGCTAAAAGTCAATGCTCGGCTTTCATTTGTGGCTATTGATTATAGTCGACACTCGTACCGAAGTGGTTAATAACAAGCACAATAGATTTGTAACAATTTTTATGCCCCCCCCAAAAGCTTTATCATACAAGTAGCTCTGGTTTCTCAGCTTTCCCAAGAGATGGCCTTTAGGGTAGATGGCCCTTAGGATAGGCCTAGAGCATTTCTCTCACAACACCATGCTTGTGGAATTCCGTACCTTGCTTCTACTGTCACCCTACCCCTCATTCCTGAGCTCAAGTAATGGGAAAGCAGGGAAGGTTAAAGAGTAATAGCTGGGGTAGGCACTGAAGTAGGGTATCCTCAGCCCTCCACCTCCCAACTAGAAGCCAGTAGCTCACTAAATAAGTATATATGGCAGAGCCTCAAAATATGAGCATTTTGGGAGGGTTATTTTTATATTACCACCTCCCCCCCCAACCTTTGAAGTGGCAAATGGTAGGAAGGTATCATTTGAGAAGATAGTGGTTGTTTGGTTTGGGGAAGGCTGGGAAGTTTTAATGTTGATAAAAATTGGCTGATATGCATACTTTCAAATTTGCTTTATTTTACTAAGATGTTAATTTTTAACTTATGTGTTCTGTGAATAGTCAGATGGCCTGGAGTCTCTCCTTGGACTCCTAGGGGGCCTCTAGTAGAGGCATTTATCTACTAATTTAGTTTTGATGAAAATTTGTTAGAAGATGTCAGTAAAAACAAGTAACTTTGAGATCCCTATGACCACCAACCTCCTGCTTATGGGGTATGAAGTTGTATTTCTGTTCTCGGATTCAAGTATTACATGCTGGTGAAGTGGGCTGGCCTGGAAATCATCTACCATTAGGAAGGTTGTTTCTGTGAGAAATGGTGCTCCATTTCCAAAAAGAATGTAGCCACATTAGGAATATATTCACTTTCAGAAATTGGGCACTCTCTGTAGTGATTCTTGCCCCACCTGAATCTGTGTGAGGCCTAAATTAGTCAATTTTCCTGAAAATGCTTTTGAAACTGTAAAACTGAAGGTTCTCCCCTCTCACCCAACACCTTGCCCCCACAACCTGAGGAAAGTCTGAAATGCAATTTAGTTTGAAGTTGGTGCACACTTTTATATGACGTGATGCAAATGAAGAAAACCCCTGGATAACATCAAGCCTTTCATTCTCAGAATTGATGATGCCACCAGCTTGGTCCAGCTGTATCACCTACTACATCCAGATGGCCAGTCAGCTCAAGAGGCCAAAGATCAGGCTGCTGAGGGAATAAATTTAATTAAGGTAAAAGGGTCTTTTTCCACATTGGCTGTTTTGTGGTGGGTAAATGAGTTGGGAAAAATTCATAAGTGGGTCATATTTAATGGTAACTAAATAGATTTGTGAATATGGAGCATTTATGGTCTCAAAAACATCAGTGTGACTGCTGACTGCAGTCCCCTTATTTCTTAAGCCTGGACAGTAGAAACAGATGGGACAGAGGTGGGGGAAGAGTGCAGTAAAGTAGGGTAGGTGGTGGGCATGGTGGCGGCTGGAGTCCAGAGAAGTTTGGTTAGTCAGGGCAGCAGCCTTGTTGTTTGGAGCACTCAAAAGGCCGAGTTGTATCTGAGGTAATCAAGTCCCCAGCAGGACAGGGTAGAGAACTAAATAGCACATACCCTCAAAAGCAGCTTGTTACATCACATCAGGGGAAACAGGCAGGTGTCAAGGAGAGGAGAGGATGGTGCTTGGATACTACCAAGCTTAGTTGTAGTCTCAATTTGGAATTGTACACCTCTTAAAACCATGGACTTAAATGGATGGAATGTGCTGAGAGTTGAGATTTTTTTCAGGAAGGGAAAGGGAGATGAGTTTATGATTTCATCTCCTCTAATGCTCAGAATAGACCTGGTTTTGTGGAACCAGCTTCTATCCCAGTAATATTTTTTGCATTCTCCAAAACAAGGCTTACTGAGGTTAAAAATGACCTGTGCTGGGAGGTCGAGGTGGGTGGATTACTCGAGGTCAGGAGTTCGAAACCAGCCTGAGCAAGAGCGAGACCCCGTCTCTACCATAAATAGAAATTAATTGGCCAACTGATATACATAGAAAAAATTAGCTGGGCATGGTGGCGCATGCCTGTAATCCCAGCTACTCGGGAGGCTGAGGCAGTAGGATTGCTTGAGCCCAGGAGTTTGAGGTTGCTGTGAGCTAGGCTCACAGCCATGAAGTGCCATGAAGCCATGGCACTCACTCTCTAGCCTGGACAACAAAGCGAGACTCTGTCTCAAAATAATAAAAAAAAAATGACCTGTGATGATACACTAGGAAGAGTAGAGAGAAGCTACAGTACTAATCCTAATCTTCTTTGATAAGCCAGATAAAGCAAAATGCTTTCGAAGAAAACATTCTTTAAAGTGTAAAGTTAGTTTTCTAACACTTATCCTCTAGATTTCTCTCTAACTTAATGATTTTCATTTTGGTCTAGGAGGATGTATGTTAGGGCCTTAATTGTTTTCTGAGAATATGCTAAAAGATGGCAGCCATATTACGATACTTTTGGTGTTTAGAATTAGTACTGCTTTAGGTACTGTTTTTCTATGTTTTGTTTTATAACCAGAAAAAAATTGTGAAACTTTAACTAGGACTCTGCTACTAATGATGCCTTAAAATTGAAAACTTTTTAAGTAGTGTATGTCCTATGGCTTTAAAACTTTTTTTAAAACTTCTTTTTTTAATTTAAACAGGTCTTTGCAAAAACAGAAGCACAGAAGGGAGCATATATAGAATTAACCCTGCAAACTTATCAAGAAGCATTCATTAGCCATTCTGCCGCTTCCTGAAAATAGTTTTAAAATACCTTTACATTTTACAAACTTTGTTAATATTGAACTGAATGCTTAAAAATGTGAAGATTAAAAGGTACTGATTTGTAGTTCTTTATACCAAAAAAACCTATAACCCTACTCACTTTCCTTGGCTACAAGGGGATAATTGGGAAATATATTTGAGTGCCTGGATATGAATTTTTTAATTGCATTAGATATACAGTTTAAAAAAAGTCCTGTGCACTTCTGTTTCTCTGTGACCAAATAGGTTAACAGGTAATTTAGACAGAACCCCACTATTAATAAGGTTAGAGGAACAGATTTCAGATCCTGATTTCAGAAATGGGTAGCTATTAGACAATGAACTCGTGTTCCACCCAAGCTGCAGACCGAAGGGAATGATGCAATGAGACCAAAAAAAAGTGGGAGAGGAGTTTTTTTTTTAAATGTCAGTAGTGGAACGATCCACCCTTTTTACTTACAAAGGGTGAACAGAAACCTACTATATTTCTCTAGGACATTTACAAAGAGTTATCTTCACCTTGAGAAGAAACTGAATAAAAATAAATGTCCATGGGAGGGAAGTTTAGAGAATCATAGCATGGATATTCAGTGATAAGAAAAATATGATTGATATTTGAAAATGTAGATTTAATTATGCAAAGAAAGGGAATATGGGGCTGATCCCTAGATGAGGTGTAGTTTTGGCTCAGCCTTCTAAAACTAGAAGCCTATTTTCATTATTCAGAAAGGAAACTGAAGTATCGTCACTGATTCAAAAGGTTTTATCCAATATAGTCTGATGACAATAGGAAAAAAGCCAAAGCCTACACCCCACATTGTCTGTTTAGTTAACAAGGAGGGCACAGTGATTCTGCACACAAGGAGGCATTATGCTCCCAGTGGTCCACAGCATATAAAAATCTAAGGAGCTCCTCACAGTCCAAAGCATTGTGGTCAGGGTAATGATCAATACCTATATAATGATCTGTTGAGTAAATGGAAGACATTACATTCAATCATCCAAAATATCTTCATCCAGATTGATATCTGTTGTGTCAATATCTTCTAATTCCAAATTATCCAGATCTACTTCTAGTTCAAGTAAACTCTGTAAACAAAAGGAAGAAGGTGATGAAGTTACGTAGTATTGTGTGAAAGAAAAGTTATCTGTGGTTCATGATCCAAAGTGAGAACTAAAATTTTCTTACTAGTCAAAAGGGCACCTTCCTACTTCAATGCCCCTGCTCTGAAACTGATTATATCACTTAAACCACAGAGGCCTATATATGCTATAGATATTCACAGGGAAAAGGGTGAGGTGGGTGGAGGTTTGGGTATGATATCTGACCTACCTTTTCTTCTTTGTTGGCTGTGTGGGAGGCTATAATAACTGGAGTAGGAGAAGGCGGCTTCTCGTCAAGTTCCTGAAAGCCAAAGTGGTAATACATATGAAAACAAAGGAAATTGCTCAGGAATTTAAACTTTTCCCCCACGAGGAAGATGATCAGGGTTAGAAAGTGGGAGGTGGTACTTAACCACTTTGGTACCAGCGTTGACTATAGTCGATAGCCACAGATGAATGCGCACGTCGACTTTAGCCAACAGCTGCCACAGCGGAGTGTCGACTTTAGCCGACAGCCGTGATATGACTTCTAATTTTTCATTTATTAAAATAAAATTGTGAACATTTAAAAATAACGTAATAAAAACATATATGTATACGTTACCTATTCTGATTTACGTTACAAGTAAAGCTGCCTGTAAAGTAAAACAAACTTTCAGTGCTTTAAAGCTTTCCTCATCACACAAGAGTAAAACAGATTTGTCATCAATGCACAGCACAAACTATTGTGTGGACTTTGAGTGCCAGCTGTGGGCAAGGTTTCTCAGCTGGTGAGCACAGTACCGAAGTGGTTAAAGTCAATCTCAGCCAAATTATCACATGAAGTACTCTACTGACCTGTTGAGCTGCAGATCTGGAGGGCTGAAAGCCTTTTGCCTCTTCCATAACATTTCTCTCTTCATTTGGCTATGAGAGAATAAAGTAATAAAATGAGATGTTTTGAAATCATAATTCACCTATGAACCTGGCCTAAATCCCAGATATTAGCTCTTAATTCAACAATAAAGTATTTAATGCAGCTCAAAACCTGAAGGCATGAATGCATTCCACCCTGCTGTCACACTAAATGAAGCTTGGCACTCCAGTCACTCACCGTGACAAGTGGATATTGTTTGGCTGGCCACAGATCAGCATGTGTTTCCTTCACCCATTCTTCAACAACAAAAGCTTCTTTTAATCCAGGGAAAAGATTTTCATACTCTGTTGGGTCAGCAAGGGATTCTGCTGCTTTCTGATTGACTTTTGACAGATTCTCTCTCCAGAGTTTCACTACCCTATTATAGATATCATGAAACCAAAGGGAGACTAAGTTAACTGTGCTCTGATTTTATTTGAAACATTTCTTCCTAAAATTAAGTCTATACCTTGAAACCTGACTGGGTAAGTAAGTTCGGGCCAGGAAGGCAGCTTCTGGCAGCCGTCCAGTTCTAATCAAGAGCTCCAGGCAAGCATCAAGCCTAAAGATTAAAAAGGAGAGGTACAGTTACCAAGAATAAACACTATAACACTGGCACTTAACACCATAAAGAAATGTGGATTTAGTGTTGCAAAGCCAAAATTTTCCCAACCCCCCTCATACATATATCTCACATCTGTCACTGAGCCATTACTTAATTAATGGTTGTTACTTAACAAAATCAACAGACTCCAAGGGTATGAGAATAAGAGCTTTCATGACCACTTTCAATCTACTTAGTTTTAAAGACTCTTCAGAAGAACCTAAAGGGGCTTTTCAAGAGGAGCTAAGGCAGGTTAGATTATGAAATTTTAAGGGCTTCAGGATATGTGCAAGTGGAAATTCAGTTTCACAAGTGGGACTATCTAGGGTAGTGCCTGCAACATAGGCTGGGCCAGACAATCCAGTGGTGCTCAGCAGAATACCAAAGTTTCCATTTTTTCTTCAATTTTTGTTTTTTCCTGTGCAAGTTTTATATAGCAGACAATGTGTTTCACAGTTCATATATTTTTGGATTTTACAAAGGTGATACAGCACAGATACTGTATATTACCTAACATTCTCAGCATTAAAAGCCACAAATATTAATATTTCTGCAATAATACATGAATATTAAATGTGATTAAAAAATCATGTGGCATAAAAGCAACTAAAAATAGTATGTCAGAGTTCAGGTTTTGCCATCAAATTTCTTACAAAAAGCTTTTCAGAATAATTCTGGGTTTCTGAATTATGGATAAGGAATAGTGGAGCTATTACAGGTAGCTAAATTTATAAATATATTCACATGTATTGGGGTATACATTCAAAATTTTATGATGAAGTATGGGTTTTTAAAAATAAGTATGTAGGACAAGGTTAATAAATACTTTTGTGTTTTATTTCATAATACAGCCAACTAACATCCATATGCTTTGGATTGCACTAACTCTGTGAGACTTAAAAATGTGAAATTTTTATGCTTTACGCTGGGCTCAAATCTGAAAGTAGCTGGCATCCTTATCCCCCTTTATTTTTGCCATCCTTATCCCCCTTTATTTTTGCCATAAATAGATCAAAATTATCCAATTTGGGTAAAATTACTGCCATTCAGGTACCAATTGGAACAGCTCAATAGCCACCTGCAGTCATAAAAGAGAATGCCTTGGCCATTAACTTGTGGGGCTGTTGAGAAAGGGGTTTAACATTTCTCCCACCTGACCCTCCCTGAATAGCTCATTTATCTCAAATATTTACACTAAATATGCTAAGAGAGACTTTTGCTGAGGTGCCACCAAAGTAGCACTGTCCTTCTCTGATGGTCCCCAGTATTCAACACCTTCAGCCATCCTTGGGTTCTCCCTCCAGGGCTTAGGAGGGTTCATTCTTCACATTCCTCTCCCAAAACCATCCTCAAAGTCAATGTAGAAATAACTGCTTTTAATTACTATACTCATCAAGGTCTTTTGGACCTTAGATTAATACTTACTTGCCCTGTAAAAAGTAGCTCATGAATGCCACGTTATTTTTGCCATCTCTCTCCGCACCCTCTGCTAGCTTGTTCACCATACTAGCATTTCCAGAGGCAGTGGCCAAAAGCAGCAGACCCCCATAATCCTGTGCATGGTGCAGGCACTCCTGGGCTAGGCCAAACTGACATTTACTAATGGCAAGCTCAGCAAGTTGTTTCCACTTCTGTTCTGACTATAAAAAAGAATTTCCAAGTTAAAGTATCTTTGGAAATAAACATTTAAATTTTCAACATTGTTATTCTGTTAACTGGAACATTACTGTGTTGACAACGGAAGATATATGTATAGGAAGAGCCATGCTTGTTAATAAGTTGGCTCTATCAATCAAAATAAGAATGACATTACAAAATGTATAATGACAAAATGGAAATTATTCACATATACAAAATGAATTCAAACGCAAATCAATTTTAATAACACATGAATAATTATCAACCAATTGTATTTTTGTTTTGTTAATTACATAGTGAAACTCAAAAACATCTAACTAGAGTTTCAAGGTAATTATTTTATAATTATTTTTAACAAGTGATTTAATACCACTTCTTTGAAAGAATACAAAATTGTTTTTTATGTCCTTAAATATTTAACAATATTATCTCACTTATAGCTTCTAAGAATCAAATAAAATGCTGTATATTTTCATGATCTTAACATCACTAAAATTTATTTTGCCCACTGAAATTAGTTTACCAGTAAATGCTAGACTTAAACCACAATTGAGAGGCCTAAATATACAAAGATACAGAAATATCATTAAATTGTCTTTCAAAAATGTCATAACCCCTCTTTAAAGCCAACAACTTTCTTGCTAGTTTGGGATATTGGCAAATTACTGCTTTATCTGTACTCTTAGAGTTCCCAGACTAGTTTACCAACTATTTTACATCTTTCCTTCTCTTGTAAAACAGATCTCACTTAAGATAGGAAAATGATTTTTCTTAAACAAATTAGAGTGCTAAGACTATGTCCAATATAATCCATGTAATTTATGCAAAGATTAACATAACACACCTTTAAGAAAGACCAGAGACAATAACCTCACTAAAATGAGTCACTAATTTGCATTTGAGAAAGCTTTAATAACAAAACATACTAAACACACAAAGTACCTACTGATATTTCCCATCAGTTGTCAAAAATCATGAATTAGTACATACCTCTGCTTCTACTGCTAACTGGTATGCAATTTTTAACTCTCCAAGTTGAAGAGCAAGCTCAAAACGATGCTCAGGATCTGTGGATACTGTAAGAGCTTGCTGCTTGAAGCCCTAAACAGATTAAGAAAAAAAAAAAAAATATATATATATACACACAAAATTGTGTATATGTATTAATAGTAGGTATATACAGCACACACACATCTACAAAGCAAATCCTCCATTTCCCTCTAAAACTAAAAATACCTAGCTGACATAGAAACCCTACTACTTAAACAAAAGTGACAGTTAACAAAATACTATTTAATGAGAAAACAGAAAAAATTTAAAGTCATTAAATTAAATGGTAAGAGCAAACCCGGCAGAAAAAGTATTCAGCCACATAATGCTTACTGTTTTTTAGGGTAATGGAAACTGACCAATGCTAGATAAACTCAAGTAAAACAACTAGTAAAATTGGAAATGTAAACAGAAATAAGAAAGGGATTTTAGAAAGTTGATTGAATAAGAATCATTTCAAAAGAAGAAAACCAGGCACAGAGGTGTAAACTTAGCTGTTGGTAAGCTACTCATCTGGACCTTAGCGATTATCTAATCCAGTCCCTCACTTTACAGATGAGGTTACTGGCAGTAAATGGGCAAAAAAAAAGGAAGTCAAATATGAAATTCTGCAATATTCTATTACCTATAGGTCATTTGGCAAACATTTTGTATTCAGGTCCAGACACTGATCAGCTGTCATTACCGATGATGCCTTTTTGATCTCATGATCAGTTTATTATTAGCAAGTATCCTAACCTAAAGGACAAGATGTTTAAAATTTCCTTTCCATGCTCCATTAAGCTAACAAGAATAAGCCTTTAAACCAACTATCATAATAATTAAAATTAGCTTTTCTCATAAGACAAACTATTGATGGAGTCTGCCTTATGGGCAAATTTTTCAGCTGTAGGATTGTAGTGTGTTAGACGAAAATTTCAGGGCTAGTTTACCTCTCATCAGACTGAGGAAGAATGCTCAGCAATGACATGATCAGGATGGAGTAGCTGGACAGCTTTCAAGAGTTCTGTTTGACTGGATCTTTAAGATGGCTTTTTCAGTGTGTGTGAGAATGTGTGTGTTTTTTTAAGCTAGTAAAGCATGGTTGTGAGGGGAAATGTTAAATCAGCTTAACAGTAACCCACAAGCCTTGGACCAACTTATCACTGTGTGAGAAATGTACTAACTTCCCAGATTCTAAATAATCTGAGTTACTCCTTTTTTCTTTCACTAACACTGGTGCAGACAACATAAAACCCAAGAACGGAAGATAGAAGTTTTTTAGAACTAGACAAGTATAGGCAAGCAGAAAGCAGATGACATAAAATGGGCTAAACTTACACACTTTTGATTTCCCCTAAGTCCCCACTAAAATCACAGTAAAAGGATTTTTTTTAAAGGCATGAACTCCCAAAGGATATACGGAAAGGGAGAGGAAACATTACTATCAAAATTTTGGAAGCTGGAAGGCTGGTAGAGGAATATAAACACTTTGTTAAAATACTAGAGAAAAAAATCCTAAATCAGGAGTGAGGACAGCATAGCAACAACCTGATTCATACCTCAGAACCCCCAAAGGTATCTGATGAAGGATAGTACTAAAACAAACAAAAAAACCTGGCCTACAAGGAATTAAATAACCCAGATCCACTTCTCTTTCTCCCACCCCATTACACACAAAGACAGGCTTATTCTTTGGAGAGGGTAAACTAGGGGGTATCCAGTCTAGGAGATACTCAGCACACCTGGAGGGAAGAATATTGAGTATCAAAAGGAAAATAGGAGTTATGAAAATGGATATATAAACTAAATGAAATACTAAATACTCCAAGCTGTCTTCTACTCAGCCTCCAGAATGATGCTGATTGGGGAGCTTCTCTGTAAAATCTAAACAACCCAAGGGGAGAGACCTAAAAATACTAAAGTGACAACTCCATGAGGGCTATATGTCAGCTAGAACAGTGCCTGGTACATTAAGTGATCATTAAATACATTTAATGAAAATATTGAAGTTGAGGATCCCTAATCAAATGGCCCAACCACATCATATATTGTGAAGTCTATGCCTCCACCCCCCCCAACAAATTCAGATCTTTTAATTTGCTTCTTAGACCTCCACTCTTAAATAAGAGCCCAAGGATAATCAGATCCTAAGGAAAATCTCTAATAGGAAAGACAGAGATCAAAACAAATCAATAAAAGGAACCTGAAGAACGCATACCATGTAAAAGAAAACTTTAAAAACAACCTGCCCCCAAATAATCACTCATATTATCAGATAAGAGAAACTTTCATCGACAAACAAGAAGAGCTAAAAAGTCAGAGAATAACAAAGTAAGAAAACCAGTGCAGGAAGTTCAACATTTGAAAAATGGTTCCAGAAAAAGAGAAGATAGAAATCGAAGGAGGGAAATCACAGAATGATTCATGAGAATCTCTCAGAAATGAAAGACATGAGCTTCCTATTTAAAAAGCTCATCTTAATATCCACAGAATGAATGAAAATTAACCCCTACACCAAGACCCACCATCATTATAACATTTCCAAACAACAGGGACAAGACCCAAGAAGTTTCCACAGAGAAAAAAATCAGGTTTCATAAACCCAGAGTTGGGAATAAAAGTGGCAGTGAGGCAAAAGAAAGCTAAATCTTTCTTCAATGGAATAGAAACTCAGAAGAAATGCCAAAGCTGAGAAATGAAGAAATGGCTATACTGCTTGTTAGATTGCAAGTTATTACTTAGAGATGTGGAAATAAATACCAAAAGAATTAGGTTAAATAAAATAATTAAAAGTATTTACCTCTAGGGAGTAGGAAGCAGAGAGGAGAGGGCTGCTTTTTCCTTAAGCCTTACAGAACTCACTTTACACTTTGTGCATATATAACTTATATTTAAAAACACTAAGAAAAAGGCATGTTGCTAATGATCAATTTTATGTGTTATTTTATCACAATTTTAAAAAGGCAGATGGGATAGAGAGAAAAATGTAGTATAGGGAATGAAAATACTAAGACATTGGAAAAGAGGTGTATAGAGGAGGAAGACTGGTAAATCACCTCCAACATTTAAAGTGGGTACTAAGAACACTGAGAAAGGAGAAGGAAGTGTATAAGGAGAGTGCACCATATGCTATAACAAGTGCCTTAAACTTACAGGAGAAATTCCACTGCCACAGGAAATCAGTAGTGATTAAGAAATTAAGTTTTTCAAATCCATACTAACATTCTTTCATATTGCTAGTTTTAAAAACAAAAGGAAAAGAAAAAAACCTCTTACCTGCTTTTCCAAAAAGTGTGCAACTCTGGTCCTCTGTTCTTTTGGAATGGTAGGAAGGACTTTATCAGCCATGCTAAAGTCCCTTCTCATGACAGCTGTCTGGTATTCTAGGACTGAAACCAGCAAGGAGTAGCTAACAATGTTCAATTCTTTATCCCCAAGATAAAGCCTGTTGTCTTTAGGAATATAGCCCAGGAGATACATTGTCCTATAATAGAAACATACACTAAATCAGAAGTAAGCTCAAATCTGCAGTTAAACACACACATACACACCACTCCCCAACCTGCCTCTTGCTCAAAATCTTTCCCTTTGATTGATGCAATTTTGGTTCACAACAGGCAACCTACTAAAACTGTAACACTAAAAAAAATCACCCAACTGTTGCTATTAATACAAGCCAGCAATAGATTTTGTTTAAAAAGCACACTTTAAAAATTTAGGTCAAAAGCAAAATCATACTCAGCTACCTGTCCAAGTGGGCAATGGTGACTATTTCTCCTCCAACGTAATAATTTAATCTGTTCACAGAACTTGTGTAAATGAAACAATCGCCTACCCACAGCCCCGTTTTCACTATTTCCTGAATCTCACCAAGAACCTGCAGAAAGAAAATAAAGATTATTATTACCTTATCCAAAATTAGAGATCTGTCAGTAACAAAAAGGGTGATAAGGTCAAATACAAAATAATACAAAGTAAAATCCTATTTCAAGAAAGAATAATCTTTCCTTAGAATTTCTCTTTTTTCATTTAAGAACAGACTCCCAGGTTAGTATTTATAATGTGAAACCTCATTGTTGGGTCAAAAACCTCCTAATTCACATGAAACTGGAATATTAAGTATTTCATAAAATCTTCTAGGACATCTCCACAATGGATAGTTTGTCTTTACCATTTGGGAGCTCATTTAAATCCTTATAGCTCAACAGTTTTCAGACTAGACAACTACAAATTTCCTTACTGAAAGATATCAAAGTATGTCTAAAGAGTCCCTAAAATCAAAGCACAAATTTCTTTTAAATATATTTACTTTCAGATTCTGATCTCCAAGCCAACATTTTAATTTTCACATTTCACCAGAACCCCTTAAATGCTTAGCCTCCCCAAACCTAATTTATAATGAAATGTTAAAATTGGTGAAGTCTGCTATAAGAATATAAATCATTTCAAAACAAAGCTAAAGTTGTGCTGATGCAATTACCTCAAAGGCATCTTCAATGCCATCTTCAGTTACTCCCTCATGTGTTTCCTGTGCAGCCAAGACTTTTTCTGACAGATACTTAAGGATAAAAAATGATTCCTCGGTGGCAATACAAACTAGCTCTCCAGAGTCTGACCAGAAAATCTGCAACATGACAAAAACACAGACAACTGATTTGGATTTCTGAGTGGATAGGACAAACTACATACACTTTGTTTCTTAAAAGATTTATCTTCTTATATCAAGATAATAATATGCACTTAACAATTTTATGTAGTATATTTATATATATATTTGGGAGGGTAGACAGGGCAGGGCTGTTCTATTTAGCCTAGTAACAGAAAGAGCAAAGGGACGCAGGAGGGAGGGCTGTCAGGAAACACTGGATGTGTTATGATTTAGAGAAGCAGCAGCCTATTCTCCATTGCTCTAGAACAGTCGATCTCACCCTTTATTTTCATTATTACTCAGCCTCCCCAAGAGCCTCTTTAGATATTTTTTTTCCTAACTACCTCCCCCAAAGAAATTTTAATACTACAGATACAGTGGGTATCTGTTTATACATATGTGATACACACACATATACATCTCTATGCTTTATACATAAACAGAGTAAGTTTTTTTCCAACCCCCTCCAAGAACCAATTTTTGTCCCATTGGGGACACTACTGCCCCCACTGAGGATGCATGCTCTATACCCAGACCCCAGGGGGGCTGGTTTGTTTTCAAAGACAATTTCCTGACAGTGAAAGCTGTCAAAGTAGCAGGCAGTTCTAAAGGTAGAATACTTTGTCACTGGAGATGGTCTCCTGATGTTTAGGCAGCCATCATCAGGTCAAATAGGAAAAGGTTTTCTAAACTGTGTGGGAGCTTCTCTGGCCTTTCCAAGTTAAGAATTTCCTGACTTCTTGTCTTCAAAGTATGCTTTTAAAAAATATATTTAAAATATAAATAGCACTTGGACTTTGTACAACTTTTTATGCTTCCAAAAATATCCCATGTCTATTGCCTCATTCAAATACCACAATCCTGATTTTCTGAGCAATCCTGAGGTAAATGGCACTGTGTCCAATACAGTGGAGCAGGGACGGCAGGGTAAAAGAACACTTCTTTACCTGAGGGACCCAGAACTCACCACGAAGATAAACATTCTAGAAACAACAATGGATGGAAAACTCACATGTTTGGGTTGAATTTCAATTCTGCGTATGAGTTCTGTATTATCCCAGTCATAGAAGGCTAAGCCGTTTACAGATCTGACTCCCAATAAGAAGCCTCCGTAGATACCTGAAAAGAACATAGAAATTTTTGCTTAGATGTTTTTGAGCCATTACAAAACTTCTAAAAATGTATCCTATATAAGTAACACTCACTTTCAGCTCCAAAATCTGGTTTAAACGATTTTTTTTCCTTAAAATTCTTAAATATCTTTACAACGCTGTTGCTCTCTCTTATCGCATATCTGGGGGGAAAAAAGGAAGGCAAAAACAGCATATTATATACTAAACTACAATTTCACCATATGTTAGAAATATCTTCAAATATTTTTAAGTGATTATGCAAATATATAAAATGAATATTTGAAGATTCAGTGATGTACTTTTTCCCTAAGAGATCAGTGAATTCCTTACAGTTGAACAAATAAGTATGAGTTTCATAGTGTATATTACACAGATTACTAGGGCTTACAAACATTTTTGAAACTGGAAATGACCCAAATGTCCATCAACAGGTGATGATTAAACAAATTGTGGTATATTTATACAATGGAATATGACTCTGCAAATAAAGGAACCAGTTACTGATCTAGACAACAACATGGATGAACCCTGAAAACATTGTCCTGAGCAAAAGAAGCTAGATACAAGAGTGCATACAATATGATTTCATTTATATAAAACTCTAAAGATGACTAATCTATATAGTGACAAAAAGCAGATGACTGCTTGCTTGGGACTGAGGAGTAGATGGGTGAGGAGTGTGGACTGACTGTTAAGGGAAATAGGGGCTATTTGGGAGATGATAGAAATGTCTCATAATTTTATTGTGTTCATGGTTATGGATTGTATACATTTATCTGTCCAAATCCACTGAAATGTACATTATCCCCCCACCCCTGCATCTATGGGGGATATGTTCCAAGACTCCCAGTGGATGCCTGAAACCTGGGATAGTACCAAACCCTGTATACACTATGTTTTTTCCTATACAGTAATAGGTGGGTAGCATATACAGCATGGATATTAGACAAAGGGATGATTCATGTCTCAAGCAGGATGACAGATTTCATCATGCTACTCAGAATGGGATGTAATTTAAAACTTATTATTTCTGGAATTTCCCATTTAATATTTTTGGATTGAGGTTGACCCCAGATAACTGAAACAGCAGAAAAATAACAGATAAAGGGAAACCACTATACACTTAAAATGGTACATTCTGTTCTGTATAAATTATATCTCATTAAAAGTGACTTAAAAAAATAAAACCTGTGACAAGTGGTTTACTCGTCAGCCATGTTCAACACCACCTTACAAAACTGCTTATATTCAGGCCTCTGCCTAGGAAAAAAGGGCTGTGGCTGTCACTGGATATTCGAGATTGTGTGAGTAGGTGATGTGGTAAGAGCTTTGCTCAGGACAGGAGAGAAGCTGAGCAGGGTCTTGGGTGGATAAAGCTGAAAAGGAGAACTATCGAAACAGAGGTATATTGACAGAAGTGAGCCAATTAATGAACAATAGATGTTTAAGATGATAACAAAGTACTTTTTAGTATACAGAACGACGCGTATATGAGTGTATTCAGGAAATTTATAAAAAGATCAAAATAATTCCTCATCTCAGTAAATTTTAGCTATTATAAAATTTTTAAAAATGCATATTATGCAGTGCTGAAGCTCCAAGTTACCCCACTGCTGGGGGTAGGAGGCAACAAATGTGGGGAAAATAAAACAAAGAAAACTATGAAGATGTAATAGAGTTGTGTGGTCTGAAAACACCAAAGCCATAATGTTTATTACATGCACCAAACAGGAATTAAAAAAGGAACCAGAATCAATGACTATCTGGTGAAACAATTCAGAGTTAATTGGTTTTTCTTGCTTTTAATGTGAACACTCTGAATTCAAACAGAAATTCATTTTGTTAGATATGGGAGGTGGGTAACCACAAAAAATGAGTTTTAAAAAAGATTCAATAAAGTTCTCATCAAAATGACATCAACCACAACATCTCCCCTAATTAGCTCATAAAGAGGCAGCAGCACCTTAGGACACCATGTCACAGGGAAGGTCTGCCAAGGCCTGCCAAAGTACACTTGAGGGCCTACTTTGCTTTAAGCTGGTAAGCGCCAGATCCTGCCTAGAGCTCCATCAAGGAAATGGGTGCTTGGACCCCAGTTAAATGGGATTATTACATCATTTTGAATGAGCCAGCTCAATACTTAACACAGAAAGGGCAAAGACAGCTCATGCTACACAGTTGCCTCCAACTATAATCTTCCAGTGGGCAGCTTTGGTGAGCACTGTTTTTTAACAGAGAAACACAGCCCACACCAAGCCTTGAGAATCTCCTTTACAGAACAGTACAGAACACCCATAGGCAGTCAAGGCAAGCTGGATATCTTACAGACAAAACTTACTCTGAAGAATCGTGGGCCCATGCAAACTCTTGTGCCGACCCAAAGCTCTTGTTTCTCAATGCCATTGCTGTGTAGATGATATACTCCCCATCACCACACACCACCACAAACCTAGAAATTACAAAAGCCAAGGAGGGAAGTACAGAGGACCAATGTTAAGTAATAATAATTCATCTTTACAGTAAAATAATTCTAACAACAAGTGTTATTTTTAGTCAATTACTAATACAGTTTTATATCTTTTAAAGTTATATATTTCTTTGAATACAGAGCTACACAAAAATATTCTAGCCAACAAGTCCAAAAACAAATTATAAATATGGCTTTATTGTTGAAAATGTTATGGCAATGGCCTTCTCTCATAAACAAAAGAGATTGGGACAGGAAGGTAAGAATGGCTGGAGATGCATAGGAGGAAGTTCCCAATTATTCAATTAGTATTTGTTGAGCACCAAGATGTTTAGCACTTTGCTCATGACATTTATACCATATGAAGGCATTATCTTATTAAAAGACTATCTTCATTTTAAAACTGATTGGAATGAATAAAAATATCTTAATCTAGTTTTTAATGACTGTTAAATTTATCAAAATAAACAGGATGTTTTAACATTCAAACAATGAGAATGTTGCATAGTCAAATAAAATTTTCCCAATAGACCTAACTCTCTTTAAGGTTATCATTTATAACACATGCTCTTTGCTCTCAAAGGAGCACACAAGAACACAAACCCAACACATATGAAATAAAAGTAAACACAATACTATTTAACTGTTCAAAAATGTGTGGCAGACAACAGGGCCAGGAGGGCAAATGTGCTCCACCTTACATGCCAATTTGATCAATTGGCATGGCTGCCTGCCTGCGGCTGTGTTGAGGATTGTGAGGTCGAGGCAAGAGCTCAATGGGAATGATCAGAAACATCCACCATGTATTCTATTCCACCATAGGGCAGGAATAGAATACACCATGGATATACAAACCCTGTTCACAGAAGGTCAGAGAGATTTTGGTGATGGCTTACCGCCCATTAGGATTGTGCTGAATAGTCTGAGGGTATATTTCACAACTGCCCATATCCTTTACTGCCAATGGCAATCTTTCCCCATCTTTAATTTCGGCATCTCCCATTGCTTTTAGGTTGGCCTGCTGGACTTCTGAATGCTTGGCCCAAATTATCTTTCCATTGGCATCCATGGACATGGCAGGTTCCTCCCGACCAAGCTGAAACAATGACAAATGGCTCTTAGCAATGAAAAGGAAACAAACAAAACCACAACAAAATAGATATTTTTTTTCCACTTAACAGAGAACTCTATTCCCTTTTTTCTATTAGGTCATTAAATGTGAAATGTCTGATTTTGAATCAAAAGTTTAGTTTATCTCAAACAAGAAGCAGTAAAATTAATCAAAGAATGTGCCAAAAGTATCGATATAGTTTTGTGATCTTAACGGTAGCTTGTTTATGTCAGCGGCAAAGAAGCCTAGAGAATGAGTGACAATGAAATCACTAAGGCATTTTTTTAAAGAATACTTTTACTTGCAAGAAGTGGTCCAAAGCCTGGAAGAAGTGGCAGTCAATTGGTGCAAGGTCTAGTGAAAACAGTGGATAATAGAGAATTTCCAAGTCCAAAGTCTATAGTTTGAGTAACATTATTTGTGGGCCACATGGTTGAGCACTGTTTTGCAAGAGGATTGGCCTGTCTCTATTGACCAATCTCGGCTGCTTAACAGCAACATCCTCATCATTTTGTCCAACTGGTTATAGTACAGATCTGCTGTAATCAATCGACTAGGTTTCATGAAGTTGTAGTGGAAGATACCAGTGCTGGAACATCAAAACAGATAACATTAGCTTTTTTGGATGTATATTCAGTTTTGGACTGTGTTTCAGCACTTCATCTTTATCTAACCAAGTGTTTATCCAACAAAATGCTTGCAACTGTCAAAAAAAGAATCCATTTTGCATCACATGTAACAATACGGTGTAGAAATAGTTGACCTTTTTGTTATTTATGACAGCAAGGAAAGGCAAGCTTCGAGACAATTTCTCTTCTGATACTCATTTATTTCACGTGGTATGCATCTATCCAGCTTCTTTACCTTGCCCATTTGTTTCAAATGGTCCGATATTGTTGGGAATAATAACATCAAACCTTGCTAATTCATGTGTAGGTTGAGATGGATTCGCTTCCACTATAGTTTTCAGCTCATCATTATCTACCCTGGTTTCAGGTCACTCATGTGGTTCATTTTCAAGATTAAAATCACCAAAATGGAACTTCGAAAACCATCGACATACTGTGCATTCATTAGCCACATCCTTCCCAAACACTTGATATTTTGAGCTGTCTGTGCTGCATTGGTTCCACAACACAACTCATATTTCAAAATAATGCGAATTTTTGACTTATCCATGGCTTCACAAATATTGGTCTAAACAAAAAATTTGAAAGATAATCCAAGCCAAACCATGTGTTTGAAAGAATAAGGATGTACCTTCACAATAAAAATAACACAAGTGTCAAAGTGAAATGCCAGAGACATCAACTGTCAAACTTAGTACTTGTGGAAATCGGACATTTCAGATTTAATAAACTAATACATTAAATCTCCATTCCTTAATCTCTAGTGCTTAATGAAAGAAGTGCCAGTTTAATGAAACTGGTAACTTGGAAGATGACAGTGTTAAAATACAAGGTAAATTGCTTTGCCTATGTCCCTCTACTTAGAGAGATAGTATAATTACCTTAACAATGATGCTCCCTTCGTCATAGCCCAAAGCGACATTGTTGGACCCTCTTAGACTGGCCACACACCATACCCTCTCCATTCCATAATTTAATGTGCTCTCAAGCCGGTAGGTGCTTGAATGCCAAATACGCACTGTTCCTAAAAAGAACAATGTGAATATTCCCTTTTGATACAAACATCCAACAATGAACTGTGTCAGGTGAATAAGCCACATGGAAGTCTTTCTATTGAAATAAAAACAATTCCTGGCAGCTTTGTGACTGTTTTTGATCTACAGTCTCTAAAAGATTTTATAAAGCAATATAAACATAATAATAGAAAATGTATAAGAAACTAAAACTAAGAAATGTGATTTTAAGTGTGAAATAATAACAGGATTTCCTGGGTACAGTGCTTCCCATGTGCCAGATGCTTTCTACCCATGATTTCTTTTTGCCTTCTCATTGTAATGCTATAAAGTGAATATACGTATTTCCATTTCATAATTTTCCCAAACCACACATTCATGAAGTGGCAGAACCTGAATTTGAACCCAGGTTTGTCTGACTCTGAAACACATGCTTTTTCAGTTTTTCTCAAGGACATCTAGGTGTCCTCTTATTTATGTATAAAATCAAAACACATTAGAATGATGATGATATTAATAATAATAATGCCCATTTACTCTTCTATAGCTTCAGTCTAGTACTCTAATAAAAATATCAAAATCCTTAGAAACCTTCAATTACAATGCAGAGACACTGCCTGGTTTAAATATCTACTGAGTAATTACTAGCACAGGAATAAACATACACTTCTAACCTACCATCTTCTGAACCTGTGATGATAATTGGCAACTCAGGATGAAAACTGGCACAAGACACATTTTGGGCATGTCCCTCCAGGGTCTGCACACATGTTTTATTCTGTAAGACACAGAAAACATTATTTATTAGTGATAAACCAGTAACCAGCCCACCTTTAATTTTTTCAGTGCATAGATACATTATAAATGATAGTAGTTATCACAACTTAAATAGTATCCAATGGAAAAAAAATTTTTAAATAGAATAATCTTGTTATATATGTGAATTTTTCTCTAATTATTTCACATAATAGATAACCATAAGTGTATATTAAAGAAAAAAAAACAAGTAAGTTTTCGTCTATTATTCCCCCAAATTCTTAGGATAATAAATTTTCCCTTTATACTCACACCTGCCATTTGTGGACTAAGTAGTGCTGTTTTAGCTTTCAATATTTTTATTCTGTATTTAGTAAAAATCTGAAAAAGTTTAAGGGTAAAACTTGTTTTCTAGGCCTCATTTTATTAACTGCTTAAAGAAACTCTTTATGTGAGAAACAGAAACAAAGAAATTATAAGAAAATCTTAGAGATAAGAAGCATGGTAACAAGAGTTCGTAACTATGTTTATAAGAGTTCTACGTGGCAAAATGGTTGTACCCTAGCTATATCATCATATTGTTTACTGATCTGCTAGTTTTCAAATATAAATGGAAGTATGCCAACAAGGATACTAGCTGATGTATAATTTAACATTAAAATGTTAAAATTTCTAATTTCTATTAATAAATGAAAAATAAATATGCTGGCATTTTATTTTTCAAATCTTGATATGCATGTGTTCATTTTTATGGATAATTCTAGCAGCACAGTTTAACTACAAATTCTTAAGACTTTAAATTATTATGCTATGAACAGAGTTCAACAACCCAAGTTTTAACTGTCCTGTAAGAAATAGTAAGAAACACTAGGTCTAACATATGGCATGTAAGGTTATGAAAAAACTGTACCTGATAATCCCATATTTTAACAAGACGGTCATCTGCACCTGAAATGAGGTATGGTTTGTCGCCACCACTGTAGTAATCGATGCAATTCACGCCTTTCTCATGTCCTTCCAGAGTGAAGTTTGGTGAGGAAGAGCCCAATTGCCACACCTTCAGAGAACAATAGCAAATGCCAGTCAATACAGGGCCTTGCTTCTCAGAAGGCAGATCCACCACACTTCTGAAGTATTATATAAAATGCCAAAGCCCAGGAAAGAAAAGCTAAGAAATATTCATTTTTTTTCACCTGTTTTTGTTCTTTCTTATTTTACTTAATTTCAGGGGGTAGAATCACTATACTATTCTCTAAAAATGCCAATTTCCAGGTTTTATCCCTAGAGATTGTGATTCAGTTGATCTACAGTGAAGTCCAGGAAACTTAGATGCATAAGACTTTGAAAAACCCTACTTTAAGGGTAAGAAATGATTTTATGAGACATTAATATAGAGCTAATAGAAGTATATTTAGTAAGATATATTAAAAGAAAGTTACTAATTAAAAAATTTAAAATATAGAAAAGCAGTCAAAAGTTCCCACGGCACAGAATTGAGCTTTATCATTTTTACTGAGTGTCTACCACATGAGGCCCTCTGGAGAGTATATATAAACAAATGTTTACCACTTACTGTATGCAATAAACTACTGGAACCAAAGATAAAATAATTCTTATTCTTAAGATAAGCCTAATTTAGTGAAGAAAGTTTAAAACTAAGTTCAAAGTTTCCAACCTATGTCAAAAGTAAGGACAATCCTAAGAAAAGGAAAAAAAGTAAGGTCAAAACCCTAACGCATTCAAACATAAAATATTATGTAAGTTAAAAGAAAACTAATTAAAATGTTATACAGAAGTAATCAAACATGTGTAAGCAAAAATTAATTTGATTTTAAATCTACACATATAGAGATATTTTATTTAATTAATTAATTAATTAATTTCTTTTTAATAGAGATGGGGTCTTGCCATTGCTCGGGCTGGTCTTGAACTCCTGAGCTCAAGCAATCTTCCTGCCACAGCCTCCTAGAGTGTTAGGATTACAAGTATAAGCCACCACACCCAGCCAAGATATTTTAAAAATTATGATTGAAAGGAATATGACTGCACTCACAGCAACATATATTAAGCATCTAGTACAGGCAAGACACTGTGCTGTGTGCTACTGAACGTCTGTTTGGGTGAAGACAGTGACACACAGTTCCTGTCCTAAACATCCAACATTTCAGAGGATAATGATTTCCAAAAACATATTAATTAAGATTCAATGTGATGGCCAGGCGTGGTGCCTCACACCTGTAATCCTAGCACTCTGGGAGGCCACAGCGGGTGGATCATTTGAGCTCAGGAACTCCAGCCTGAGCAAGAGGGAGACCCCGTCTCTACTAAAAAAATAGACAGAAATTAGCTGAACAACTAAAAATACATACAGAAAAAATTAGCCTGGCATGGTGGCACATGCCTATAGTCCCAGCTACTTGGGAGGCTGAGGCAGTAGGATTGCTTGAGTGAGCCCAGGAGTTTGAGGTTGCCATTAGCTAGTCTGACAACATGGCACTCTAGCCCAGCCAACAGAGTGAGACACTGTCTCAAACAAAAAAAAAAAATTCAATGTGAGAAAGGCTGTAATAGAGGCAAAAAGCAATGGAAGGAATGGGATGAGTATAAGTGGCTCTATCTAAAGGTGAAGTAGATGTCTGATAAGAGCCTCTTGGAGTAAATATTTGTGCTAAGCTTTGAAACTTAGTAGTTCTCCAGAGAAAAATAAATCAAAATGTGAAAATAAAGAGAATGCAGAAGAAACAGTTAAATAAGGTACGGTTCTGTGAACACTCATGGCATCTCTAGAGGATGATGAGTAGACCAGGGTTTTAGATATCTCATAATATTAGCCCAAGCTAGTCTTGGAAATCCCTGTATTCCATACTAAGGGATTTGGACTTTATCCTTAGACTGGGATCTGACAAGACAGAATCTATGTTTTAGAAAGATAATGACAGCAATATAGGAAACTGGAGTAAGAAAGAGAGAATGGAGACAGATGGAACTTAAAAATAAGCTTTTGAGAAAAACTCTCAAAATAAGCTTTTGAGAAAAACTTCTAAGATAAGAGTAACTGTCTGGCCAGCCAGTGGTAAAATGCCTAAAACAATTATACTTTATTAACAATGATAACTGACACAAAGAGTAGACACCCTACCTTGATGGTCCTGTCCAAAGATGCACTGGCGAACTGATTATTATCTTTGGGGTTGATCACGATCTGCATTACATAATGGGTGTGTCCTTCAAACACTTGTGAGCAAGACCATTTTTTATCCCAGTCCCAGAGCTTAATAAGCATATCATCTAGGCCAAAAGAAAGTCTCAAGTTAGGTGGTGCAATTTCTATTTTTTTTCATTTCAGAACTAAGACACAGAGTCTTAGTGCTTTTTAAGGTAGCAAACCTAACACAAATCATACATTCCATGACTTGCAGAAATAGAATTAAAACTAAATAGATTTTCCAAAATCCTTATCTATCCTATGAATAAACTTAACCCTCTATTAAAGTGGAGATAAATAAAATAAATATAAAAATTTTGTGAAAAACGTTAAGAAAAATTCAGTGAGCTTTAAAGAATGACAAAAGAGTAACATAAAGTTTGATTAGAATCTAAGTGTGACTGAATAATGATGGCAATGACTAGAGCACAAGCATTTCCTCTTATAAGATTGGTTTTAAAAAGTTTTGAATTATATCTCAATTTCTAATTTAAAAATGTTTCAAAGAGCTATTACCAATTCAGTGCTACTTGTTTTAATTGCCTTCCAAAAGGTCCACTGTTTTATACATAATTCTAGGGAGCAAACTAACTTGAATATAAAGATAAAACTGACTAGGCAACCTGCCAAAAACTCATTCATCAGGATGCAAATGAGCTTTCTGTTTAGCAGATGTTTAAACATCTAGACCTTCAGGTCTTTCTTGACAGAGCAACTGCTATACAAATCCTAAGTATAGCTGATATTTTACTGATAAGCAAGCAGCATCAATAGCTCAGTAATGGATCTAAATAGTTTAATGGCTGCCTGGAGTTAGAACACTACTTATAACAGAAGTTAGAGAATATCATGTCTCACAGGATGAAAATGAATTACCCAAAGAGATGCACATGACCAAAAGAAGTCATCTCTTACCACTGCTAGTTAGAATGAAAGGCTGGGTTGGATGAACAGCAATACAGCGAATATAGTCTGAATGTGCTTCAAACATATGGACTCTCTCCAAAGTATTATAATTGAAGACTCTGATCTGCATGTCATCCTAGAATGGAAATTTTAAGACCATCATCACTGTTATGAAGTAAACTGTATGAAAAACTATATTATAGGCTCAAGGAATGAAGTGCATATTTCAAACTACTGCACTAATTAATAAAACAAATCAGGAATCAAAATTCTGCAACTAATTTACATAATCACTGAGCAATTCAGAAAATGGGATTAGAGATTCATATAATTACTCACCGCTCCTGTCACAACCCAATTCTTCCTTGCAACAAACTTTGCAGCTCGAACAGGAAGATCACACACTTCAAATGTCTTCACCAATGTCTTTAAATTTTAATAAGAATATACACATTGAGTTATGAGAGAATATCTGAAAAATCTATTCTGCTACATTTAATGCATCTAATTATTTAGATTACTTATAATTTTGATATATTCTCAGGCTAAAATATGAAAGCGCAACATTAAAATGAGAAAAAAAATACACCAATCATCTTTTTTTTTAATAGATTTAAAATTAAAACACTTTTAGAAGATAAGAGAAAGCAAATGTCCACAAGATGTTATCCCAGACCCTCAGTGCTCTGGCCCTTCCCTCCCTCTCTAGCCTCTCATCTTTGGCTATTCCCAGCCTCACCTCTACTCCTGTTTCCTCTGCCTGGAAAACCCACTCATGGAAAACTGTACTCCCCTTTTGGAACGTAGTAACTCATAATTATGTGTTTAATGTCAATCTTTCCTGCTATGCCAAGGGCAAGAATCTGATTCACCACTGTATACCCAGAGCTTAGAACAATGGCTGACACACAAGTAGTACATGATAAATATTAGTATTTATTGAATGAATTGGCCCTTAGTTTCTTCTTTTTTAAAATAAAACTCATAGAAATGGCTCCTAAACAAGGTAAAATTCTTTTCCATGCTTTAACAGTATGATTTCATACAAATGCTATTTATTTCTTTTCAGTAAAATATAAAAACACAGTGATTTATATGTTCCTTCAAGATGTTCAGAGTGGAATTATATACATAGGATAAAGGCAGAAAACTAGGAGATCCCCCCTAGAAAGACCAAAGATAAATGAATCTCTTTGTCCTCCCTTTTTGATGTCTGCTCTTTAAAATTCTGACACTCAAACTATCATTTTTCAATCCCTCTTTTTTGCACAAGAAGGCAATAATGAAATAACTAAGAACACAATACAATCTTACTGATTAACCACATACACTAAAAAAAAGAATAGGAGCTGGGTCAAAACTGATGAGGCTACTCTGACTTTCCAAGCCAGACTGTAAATATTCTTCAAAGACTGAATGAACGGGGACATCAGCTCTGACCTGTACAACTACTGCCAGCTGACCATGACACCAACAAGGAGATCAGACAGAACATGCAATCCATAAGAGAGCAGAAAAATCCATGAAAGCTCATGAGGAGCCAACAAATTCAAAGTTCTGCTGAGCATTAACAACAGAGCAGCAGCAGAACAGTCTTGGTTCCACACCATATATGTTCTATGGCTGATACAAATGACATGAGAAATGATCTCCCTGCTCTAGAAGCCAAACAATCTAAAGAGCAGGGAAAGCTACACACATTCAGTACATAAAAATAACCAATGTACGTTAGGAAAGTAATGACTAATACTTGTACAGTACTTTATAGGTCTCACACACAATTTTATCTAGTTTTATTTGACCCCTTTGACAATCCTGTGATGCAAGGAAGACAAAAATTTCATCTTCATCTTAGATAAATAAATGGGATTAAATGTGGGATCAGCTGCCCACATAATTTTATCAGCAAGTTGGCTTCAAATTATAAAATACTGGCTTTTGTAAAAACCCTCTGCATCCATCACCTCAAACAGTATATATCTCCTTATCTGAAATTCAAACACATGTGAATTTAAGTCCAAAAACCTCTTTGGCTCTCTCACGAATTATGCTCTCAATATATATGAATGGTAAATAACTCTTGTTGGTGATAAATACAGGAAAAAAGCAGAGAGAACCAAAAATAGATCAACCATTCAACAAGGACTTACTATCTACCATGAGCCTGACATTGTGTCAGGTGGTACCCCATGCACTGGAACGACAGTGGGAAATGAGACTAGGGGAATCCTTGTTTTTACAGAACCTCCATTCTTGAAGGAAAGGAGATTAAACACAAAATTACCAATGAGATGAATTATGAAAGGGTAATCAGATAGTCTCGTAAAAGGGCATGGAAACATACAAAGAGAAAAAGGAGGCAAAGTGGATGACACAAACAAAGCAGAGCTGTATTACGGTAAAGCCTAGGGAAAGATAAGGGAGATATACCTGGCCTGAGAGCATATGATAGTCAAGTGACAGAGCTGAGAGATGGGCAAACAGAGCTAATAGTGGGAATCCCTAAGAAGAATTAAGGGGAGAGGACAGCAACATATCTGTAAAACATAAAATCAAAAAGGTTTTAAACATCTGGATAGAGGACTAGACCAAAAAAGCCAATTGGTATGTATATTATCTGCATCATAGCAAAAGGAATTCACATGATCTAAAGTTGCAGAGAAAGAAATTCTGAACTATTGAATGTGTACTATTGATTAGTTCAACAAATAATTATTGAGTACTTGTTATATGCCAGGTTATGTTATAGGTACTGGGATACAGCAGAAAGCAAAATGATAAAATGTCACTGATAGGGTCTTGGTTTTATGCACAGCCATTATTGTTTCATTATAGTGAGTATAAGAGTGTAAAGGAGTTTTTAGGTTTACTCCTGACCTTAGTTTCCTAATTCTATTTTTGCCATTTTAAATTCCTCAAATGTGAATTTTATCTGGATTTCAAGAACTTAACTTTGGATTTGGAGGATAATTGCTATATAAGCAGACACAAACCTGTATGGTATAGTGTTAGCTTTATGCTTTATACTCTGAAAGAAAAAGATTAAAGATGACCTAGAAAGACTGTGGAAAATATGAGATAAACTAATTTGAAGGATATGTTATTTACTCAGGTGAAACAGAACATGATAAGCATTTAAGGCAGATAATCTCTAAGATGCAAACTCTCACATGTAATCAAAAGTTGACTATAAATATTTCCCTAATATAATCTATAATCTGTATGGCTGGTTGAGAGTTACCTGCATATCGTTACATTGAGTACTTGGGGTAAAATAAATAAAAAATCTCACATTTAAGATAGAATATGCACTGAATGGAAATTTAACTATTAAATACTTTAGAGTGAGTAATCTTTTTATTAGGATCAGTTTCCTCAATTTCAAGAGAGCAAATACTACCTAAATCAGAGTTGTTTTATTTAGATATTTAATAATATACCTAGAACAAATTATCCTACAAACTATCCCCCCATAAATGTTAGTTCTTCCATATTTAAAATACTTTGTACGAATTTATTTGAGAAAGCAGTTTGCAAATAACTATGGGATTCTGTGATATTTCTTCTCTTTCTTTATGAACAGTCTAACAGTATTTTATTTCCAATGAGGTCCTTAAAAAGTCCTACCTGTGTTTCATGATTCCAAACACACACACTGCCATTGTAAAGACTTGCCAACATCCATGGCTCTGTAGGATGCAAATCCACACTCTTAACTCGGTCAGATCTAGCAGTTAGCTTTCTTTTAATATCAAGTCTCAGAGGCTAAGAAAAAACAACATGAAAAAAATTAAACTGCTAAGCCAAATAAAACATGTTTAAGATGTTAACTAAAAACAGTGCATTCATGGGCCTACAAAACAATTCAGCTTTTACTTTGCTAAATTACAGACAGTTTCAAGTCTAACACATCTACTTCTTTACTCATTCGTACAAAAAATGAGACTTTAAAATTTTAAAATTTATAGCAGTTCTAAAACATTTTGGTTCAAGGACTCCTTTAAACTCTTCAAATTTTTTGAGGACCCCGAAGAGCTTCTGCTAATGTGACTTTTATGTATGTATAGCTGACATTTTACCATGTTAAAAATTAAAACTAAAACTTTAAAGTATTTATGTAGTAATTTATTTTCAAGTAACAAAAATAAATCCATTACATGTTAACTAAAATAACATATTTTTATGCAAAATGTTTTCAAAAGAAATTTAGTAAGATGAGTGGCAAAATTTTACATTTCTGTAAAACTCTTTAAAATCTGACTTAATTGAAGACAGTTGGTTTCTCATATCTGCTTCTGCCTTCAATATGTAGTGATATGATGTTTTGGTTGATATATAACAAAAAAATACCTAGCCTCATAGATATGTAGTTGGAAAGAGAAGAATATTCTAATAGTTTTTTCAAATAATAGGGTATTCTTCTTTGAAGCTTGAGAAGTGGTAGTTTCTTAAAAGTTACTTGCAATGTGAAATCTGAAACCATATCAATCAATAAACTGCTTATACTTTTTCAGATTAAAATCCATTGGTCTATTCTGTACTTTGAATGGACCTTTCACTCATGCATGATTTTGTAACATCAAGCATTGGTCATTTGGAAAATGCTGATTCAGTGAGTTATGCAGAACTTCTAAATGTTGATGCATCACTACATTTTATAAAAAATATTACATGCATTAATATCACCAGCTATGTCAACTGATAAGCCATTAGGCACTGGAAATCTATAAAGTTCAGTGATAGTTTTCTAAACTTCTGATTTTTACTTGAAATCTCTAATTTTATTATCAGTAACAAATACTATCAGAGACCAACTAACTTCCTTCAGTTTTTAAAAAATGTTTACCAAATAATCAAATGTAACCCGTTTCTCATTGTCTCAAGTAAAGCTCACAACTTAATTACAGATGTGTTTTTCCTTGAGAAAACCACCACAGAACTGCTTTATGAATACTCCCATTTCAATACTCAGAATAGTTAAAAGATACATACTCAAGTGTAGAGATGTAATAAAATTAATAACTTTTACTCTTTCATCAATAACATTCTTAAATGGAACAGTTTATTTTTTGTGTTGTTTTGCTTTTTAGAGACAAGGTCTCCCTATGTTGCCCAGGCTGGTCTGGAACTCCTGGCCTTAAGCAATCTTCCTATCTTGGCCTCCCAAAGTGCTGGGATTACAGGAATGAGCCACTGCATCTAGCTTTTAAAAAACTTATGCAGCAATGAAGAACATACTGTTAGAACAATTTGGCGCCACTGCACCAGCAGTTTTATCTTCCATTACTTTTACATCACCAGTGCAAAATATAGCATAGCGAAAAGAGCCAATAGCATCTTACTATTAGGAAAACAGTTTTAATCTGTGGAGCTCTGGAAGGAGCATCAGAGACTTGTAAGGGATCATAGACCTCACTTTGAAAACCTGTGGTTTATAAAATATCTAGTAAATACTATTTAAATATATTTAAATAGTATTTATTTAAATAAATATACTATTTATTTATTACTATAAATAGATATTTAAAATATCTATTAAATCACAATTTTGTGTTCATGTCATTGGTGTCATATCAGGAAATATTCTGAAGAATTGTTATTCATGAAGTCCTAGTAACCCTAAACCATAATATTAAATTGATTTCTTCAGAGAAAAGTAGATTTATTTTGGCAAAAATATTAGTAAACGCCTCAGTAATGTAATGTGTGATCACAATAATAATGTGTGAAGGCCTTTGGAGTCAAATGGGAATGTCTGAAATATTTTAATGGATTTACATTACAGAAACCTAATGAAATTGGAAAAATTTAAAACAAAAACAAAAATATTCTCTCAAGTCAGAATAAACTAATAGTTTTCTTCTCCATTCTCCCAAGGATGCCACTCTAGGACAAAAGTTAATTCATTATATAAAATGATGCCTTAAGGAAGTAGGCTTAATTCTCCCTTGGAGGCAGGTTGAGAAAAGCTAATTTAAAATATATTTCCCCCTCAACAGGGGGAATACAACCTAAAAGCTTATTTGGCAAGTTAAATTACTGTCAAATCTTTACTGTCATAATCTTCTGTGATGATCATGAATGGGACAGAAATTTAAGGTTACTTTTGAACATAAAATGAAGATCTAGCAGAGATAATTTCCTACGACAAAGCAAACACCTCACAAGGCTTTTACCTATCTCTTTTTGGATCTCTATCAAATTCGGGTCTTCGACTACTTCAAACCTGTTCTTACTTCTATCCCCGTCTTTCACTTTTAGCAACAATCTTTACCTCTCTTACTTTAAAAGATCAGAGTTCTCTGGTTCTTCTCATCAATTTCCTCAAAAATGTTTCCACTGTTATCTCTTCCTATCATCTCAAATTTTCTACTTTCAAACCATCATCTTTGCATTCCTTGCTAGTTTAGGGAAGTGAGAGATTTTACTTCTTTACCTCATCAATTTCTGAATTTTGCCCCATTAATTACTATCACAAATTTTAACTTCTTTTTCTTCTCAGAGCTGACAGATATAAAATGTATATTATGTGCCAGGAACTACCAGGGAGTTTTCATATAAGCCAAGCACATCTCATACTCTTGGACACTTACAAACTGTGTACATTTTACCCTTAATACATGTTTTAAATAATTGATTATTGAGTAAAAGTGATGTTCTGGAAGGTGGGCCAGGGAACTCTAAGCAACACCAGTACAACTACATACTTTTAAAGTATAAATCTCAGCTTATAAAGCACAGGCAAGCGCTCTTGTGATGATACTTCTCCCAACATTTAAGTGACTACTTTGAATAAGGCAATGTCCTAGGCACTTTGAGACAACAAGAATTAAGATGCTCATAGTCTAAATATCTCCTTACATCTTCCAAAAGCTGGGTACATTAGGACTCAGCTTAAATGCTACTGCCACCAATAAGACCTTTCTGATTATGCTAGCCTGAAGTAGTCTTTCCTAGGGGATCCTATAAGATTTCATTTTAACCATGGATGATACATTTATGTGCATATGTCTTCTTTCTTTCTAGAGTGGCTTCTTAAAGGCATGGTCATTACTTATACATGTCTTTATCTTCACAGCACCTTATATATTTGGGTATGGAGGTTTAAGCACAGACACTACAACACAGGACTAGAGTCATAAGCATTATTGTAACTCTATCCCCCAGCTGTTGAGAGAATCAGGTGGCAATTGTTTAGCAAAGTGCATAGCACCTAGTAAATATTCTATGGTAAAGGAGCAAATTAACATTTGTATTTTACATAAAAGATTTAAGGGCAATATTTCAAAGGGCAATGCATTATTAAAATGCATTTTTTGAATATAAAGACTGCAAAAGAAATGAAATTAGGCAGATCCAAGGGCCTTTTCAAAAATGTTCATTACTGAACAGCAGCTCCAAATTAGAGCAGGTCGTTAGTAACATGAAGTGGTATAATTAAGAGACTTGCCATCTTGTTCAGGTACTGTTAACCTGGGGGCCTGAGAAAGTCCATGGATGAGGCAGGGGTGGGGAGAGGTGTCTGTGAGTAAACACACTAAATTTTATTTGAAAAGGTGTGTTTCTGTGTGGCATTTTTCTAGGGATATTCATAACTTTCATAAATTTCCCCAAGGGATCAACCTGTTTCTAGTTCCAACTTTGCTGCAATTAGCCTTATACAAACTTAAAGCTTTTTTTTTAAACTGCAGATGAGGGACTGGATTTATTAACCCCTAGGGTTTTCAAGTTCCAAAATCTTGGATTCTGTGTTTTACAACAAACTCGAAAAGGTAGGAAAATGTTTAAATATAAAATGCTGAAAAGATACTCTCACATTATCATATATTTTTTTATTATCATAGCACTCTTGTGTAAAGTATTTTAGGGCATTTTTGAGAGTGAGGGTGATAACAAAGACGTGCTGTCATGACTCCTATTCCACCCACTGTATTTGCAAATGCAGAAAAGCACACCAGCCAGTATTACAAACAGCCCCTGCTACTCTTTTTCTCCCTAGAAACCTAAGCTGAGATTCCAAAACATTTGAAATTCCATTTTTTTGATTCCATATACATTTTTTCTTGGGCATCTCTGTTTAAGTTCGCAGTTTGTGGTCAGCGCACACTATTCCAAAACCAAGCCCAAAAGGAATACATGATTAGCTCTGTTTTAAGAGCAAAATGAAGTAGTTTAGCCAAAGCCTCCTACCAAGTTCAGCGTTTTCGGCCTCTAGTATTTCCCCACACCAGCGACTCCGTTGCAGACCGCAGGAGCTCCGGTAAGCGCCGTAAGCCCCAGGAGAGGCAGGGACCCCTCACTTGCAGACGTTGCCTTCCCAAACCATCCCGGCCTCCTGGGCCCCACCGCTTCCTCCCTTCCACCACTCAAACTGGACCAGGACTCAAGGCCAGTGGCAACGGCCGTAGCAGGAGCCCAGACCGTTGCTTACCGCAGCCCTCAGTCCAGTAGCCCCAGGAATCACCCGTAGCCGATAGGTCCCCCGCTCCCTCCTGCAGGGTCCGGACTTACCATGGCTGCTTCGGTCCGAGCCCGCAAGCCCCGACTTGCTACCAGAGACGCAGGCCCTGAGAGACCCACCGATCCGCTGACCGGCTGACTGACGTGGAACTTCCGGGAGGCTATTCTCGCGATAGTTGGAGGCCAAGGGCTTGCGCGCCTGCGCAAAAACCGCTCAGAGCTGGTGTTTCCAAGCCCCGCCCCAGTTTCCTAGGCAACGTGGCCATCCAAACCGACCTTAGCCTACCTGGCGCCGCGGTGCGGTGGCATAAGGCCCAGATTTTGGGGACCACAGTGGCCTAGGGCTGTTGAGCGCGGACCAGGACTGGAAACCCGAGAGATTAAAAAGGACGAGGAAAACGAAATTCCTAGTCCCATCTGAACGCTAGCGGCAGGGGAAGCCTATGGCGGAATCGCTGTCGGGCCTCCTCTACTCTAGCTCTGAGGGGAGGGAAGGGGGAGAGGGAGAAGATGAAACGTGAGAGAGACGAACGTGCTCTGGTCCAGAGTACAAGGCCCAGAGCGTTCTCTGCGGGCACTGGACTGGGCACTGGTGGAGGCTGTGAAGATCGGGGCTGGCCTCCGGGCTGAGATTCAGGCCTTTGAGGTCGGAGGGAGGCCTCAGAACCCTTAGTTCGGGAGCTCTCCTGGAGACAGGACTACCCAACCGCGTATGATTGCCTTTGATTGGCCATCGGCTGTGTTATTCATTCAACAAATATTTATCGATCTTATACTTTCCTCTCATATCTTCACATCAAACCCAAATTATCTCCATTTTACTGATGAGGAAACTAAGGCTCAAAGAAGTTCAGTATCCCAGCCAAGACTGCATAGTAATTGGTAGAATCAGGATTTGAGCCCAGACTGATTTGGCCTAACAATCCTGTGCTATTTCTACTACAGCAAAATATCTCTTTATTAAAGTAGTTGAACTCTACAATAAATGTCTGTGCTGTAGGGGTTGCAAAATAAAGTGCAAGAGCATTTGCCTACCACCCCCCTTTCAGATCCCCTCCATTCCTGCCTTTAAAAAAAAAAATTTTTTTTTTTTTAGGAAAACATTGTGGGCCAAATAAAACTTGCCGCTCTCTGGCTACATATAAACGTGTATCTCTGACTTGATAGAAGTCTTGGAGTCTTTTTAGACCTCCAGATTTTAAGAAAGGCAAAAATGTGTGTGTGTGTGTGTGTAGTGATATTCAGAGAGAAATATGGATTCTGCATCAAGTTATTTGGCTTTTAGTAGGATCTTTCCACTAACGTGATCTCTCGTGGGGTTTAGTTTTCCTCATCTTTAAAAAAAATCAGGCCGGATGGTTTCTAAAGTTCCTTTAATTTCTCCTGTGTTTCTGTGACATTTAGTAGTAGAAAAGAGAGTGGTTCTGAAAGTGGATTTTATTTCCAGCAGTGTGATCTTATGATATGTAAATTTGGTCTAATAATTGCAGACTTTGCTTACTCAATGGAGTGATTGAGGATCACAAGAGTTAGTTGAAAAATTTACAAATATGAACTATACTGAATTTGCTTGAATAAGGGAGCTTCCGCTATTTCTGATTCCTGGATACTCTTGCAGGAGGGAGTATCTTTGGATTTGGCACAGTACCAAATAATGCAAAATCAAATGATGTATCATCTCTGTTTTCAAGGGGCTGAGTCGGAAATACTTGATCTTTGTATACCACTAGGGACCCAAGGTTTTACCTGGCTGGTATTGATGTGGGGCTGAGCCCTCAAGTGTCATACTTAGTTTAACTGTATCTTTTCTCATTTTTCCACTGCAATTAACCAAAATTAAGTCCTGCAATTCTGAACTATAAATTCATTCTTCTTTCAACCATGACATACTGAATTTGCGCTATATACAAAGTACTACACTTAGGTGCCGCCTTAAGATAATACCCATAAAATTTAGTCTTGGCTTTTGATTGAAAGAAATTTTAAAGAAATAAAAATTTCATGAACCCGGACTGATATTTCCAAGTTCTGTGCTCTTTCTACTAGACCTGCTACATAAACTAACATTAAATAGTCATGTGTATATCCCAGTGTGTTCAACTGGGTTTAAAATAAAATCTTTTGTTTACTCTTTGGTTTAGGGGAGACTGGAAGGTTAGGAAAAATAGCTCTGGGGAAGAAAAGAAATATGGACAAGTTTAGCAAATTAGTAAAGGCTTTCCCAAGAGGTTGACAGCAATTGATCAACAGATCTTAAAGTCTTACCTGGTCAATTTCTAGGATGCCTGTTTCAACCCTGTCTTTTTGCTGCTACTGGGAGAATTCCAAGTGGAAATTTAGCCAGCAGTGCCTCTATCAATACCCTTTATACAGTCTTCCCTTCCCATCCTCTATCCCCACCCCTCAATAAGAAGTTGAGAAAATGAAAATAATTCCTTGAGGAAGAGTCTAGGTTTTTTGTTTGTTTTTGTCTTTTAATATACAGGCATCATCACTTAGCAAAGAGGTAAGTAGTAGCATGAATAAGAACCTAGTTTCTCCCTTCAAAGGGTTTATAACATATAGCAGAAAGGGCCAGTTATGCACAAATAATTGAATACCAGGCAGGCTATAGCTACTCTAAGATAGTACCAATAAAATACTCTGAAGGTAAAATATCCAGCTGGAAAGAGAAGTTTCATAAGGGAGGCAGAATCTGAGGTGGGCTTTTAAGATAAAGAGTGAGTATATAGTATGTTTGAGGACCAGAAAAAGTCCAATTTTCTTGGAGAATGGCCATAATTTAGAAGAGCAGTGAGGGAGAAGGTTGAAGGGGAGGTTGAGGCTAGAATCTGAAAAATTTTAAATAGGGAGGAATTGGGCTTTGATTTAGTAAGCAGTTAGGAACCATTGGTCTAGAAATGAAACCTGTTTATATCTGCCCTCTAGAAGATTTACATTTTGTTATGACATGTTGGAAATAATGAATTGGGACAGAAAGACTACACAAGTTTAGGGGAAGTGGATATAGAAATAAAATATAAATTAATAATGAAATATAAATAAAATAATGAAAGTCTTTTGAGTGCCCACTTTGTACCCACCATTACAATATATACTTTGCATTCTGTAATTTATAAAATAATACTAAAAGATAGGCATTTTCTCCAATTTATAAATGAGAAACTGAGCACTGATTTGGTTAAGTAATATGCTCCATGCTGCATTGCTCAAGAATGAGTGACAAACCTGAGATGTGAACCTAAGTAATCTCTAATGAAACTAATTCCCTTTTGCTGGACTGTAATTTCTTCTTTTTTCTGGACAAGCTAGAATCAACTGGATACACATATGACTTGAGTTTGTTGAGTTGAGGGAATGGGAGGGATGCTATTGCTGATATTTTAAATCTAATGAACCCGGAGGAATATCTTTAATTAGACAAAGATATGGTGCCAATGAATGACAGTGGAGCCAGCGAAGGAACTATCAGAGAAAGAGAACCAAGAAAAAAAAAAAAAGAGAGAAGTGAAGAGACAATTAGAGTAAGAGACCCAGAAAAACCTGTGTGTCAGAGAAGGAAAAGGCAGGGGAAATGAGTGACTAGCAGTCTTAGTGGCTTTAGGGAATTGAAGGAGGCTTAGTGTTTGTGAAAACTATTGCCAATGAATTAAATGAATATGAGGACACTAGTAGCTTTCAAAGCAGCATTTCCAGCTGAATAATGCTAGGGGAAGAAAGTTTTCAAAGGATTAAGAAATGATTAGCCGGGCATGGTGGTGCACACCTATAGTCCCTGCTACTTGGGAGGCTGAGGTAGGAGGACCACTTGAGCCCAGGAGTTTGCGGTTGCAATGACCTATGATGATGCCAGTGCACTCTAGCCCAGACAATAGAATGAGACCCTGATATATATATATATATATATATATATATATATATATATATATATATATGATTGGATGATGAAGAAGTAGAGGTTGTGAGTATAAACTATTTTACCAAGGGATTAGTGATGAAAAGGCAAATGTTTATGTGAGACACGTCTCACTGAAAGTGGGTTGACTGCTCCTGCATTAATTTATTATAACACTCCAAATGGTTATAGGCAACCAAATGGACCCTTGCAGGTGTGAGTGGTAACTAGCCAGGCAAATGTCAAGAGAGTATATGTAGAGCATTCAATTTTTTCACAGAACTAAGAATAGTTTAGCATGCCTGGGCTGGAGAGTAAGAAGGGGGAGGATTGAGAAATAGTACTAGAAAGGTAGATGAGGCTCAGATCTGCAAGGTTCATGATTGCCAGTTAAATGAGTCTGGACTTCATCCTGAAGGCTCTGGGGAACCATTGAAGAATGTTAAGTGGGGTAATCTTCATGCTCTATTACTGATTCATCACTGCAGGTCACTTACTTTCCCTATTAAAGGAAATGTTAAGATTATCAGCTAGATGTCTGCATGAAGTGAATAAAAGTGAAAGTTTTGACCACATAGTCACATAGCAGCCATCAGCAGACTAAATTGAGTTGGAGAACCACTGAGCTGTCTTCCAAGAAAAATGGAGCTTGTGGTTGACCACACTGAGAGGCAAGGGTTTGAGTGATTGCAAAAGCATTGATCAATCTCACATGTGCTGTGCACTTCATATGATTACCTTCTAAGAATTTTAAATTTGTTAAAATAAATTTACTACATGCAAGTTTGATGTGGGATTCAGGATAGAGAGGATGTTCATTTTCGCTTACCTTAAAAGTATAAAAGTCCAGATTGTTAGTCTTGTTTTTTTACTTGTATATAATTTTACCCTTAAAAATTACATTAATTTCATGTTTTTTATTTATTTATTTTGAGACAGAGTCTCGCTTTGTTGCCCAGGCTAGAGTGAGTGCCGTGGCGTCAGCCTAGCTCACAGCAACCTCAAACTCCTGGGCTCAAGCGATCCTCCTGCCTCAGCCTCCCGAGTGGCTGGGACTACAGACATGCGCCACCATGCCGGGCTAATTTTTTCTATATATATTAGTTGGCCAATTAATTTCTTTCTATTTATAGTAGAGACAGGGTCTCGCTCTTGCTCAGGCTGGTTTCGAACTCCTGACCTCGAGCAATACGCCCGCCTCGGCCTCCCAGAGTGCTAGGATTACAGGCGTGAGCCACCGCGCCCGGCCTATTTCATGTTTTTTAAATAAAAAATTTTAGAGGAGTCAGGGTTTAAAGTGAGCTTTAGAATGAAGAAGGTGATTTCATAGA